GATTTTTTTTGGAGACAAAAATCTTCCTATAGTTCAGACTGACCTTGAATTTGGGGTGATCCTCCTGCCCCAGCCTCTTGAGTGGTAGGATTACGGGAATAAAGGAGTCAATTGCTTAAGCCCCATAATTCCACACATTGGTTTGGGATTAAGGAGAGGGGCTGAGGAGTTCAGGAGAGTTTTGAATGTACTTAAGTGTTTGGGGTTTTTTTGATACCGGGGATTGAACTCGGGACCTTGTGCTTGCGAGGCAGGCGCTGGAACCACTGAGCTAAATCCCGGGGCCAAGTTTTGAATGTAAAAGATGGGATTATTACAAACGCATCTGTCTTTTGCCTTCCCTAAAGGGGGATGAGCGGCTCTCATAGAGAACCGTGTAGCCCACTCTTCCCTGGCCCGTTACTATGTAACAAGCAGCCCTCAATTTAGTGGTGTGAAAGGGCATCAGTCACGGTTGCTCTTTCTGCGCTCTTGTATCTGGGGGGCGGCTGGGCTCCGGGTCCCCTGAGTGGCCGCAGTCACACAGAGGCTGGCGGAGGCCTCCGGGAAGCGGTGCCCCTGAGTGTGGGCTCCTGGAACGACACAAACATCTGGGGCTGGGGCTCTGCCTCGCCTCTTCTTCAGCGGGCTCCCCATCAGGCCTCTTGACCGCGGCAGCTGCAAGGTGGCTGTTCTTACACAGGGGTTCGGGGGTCCAAAGGTGCTGTCCCCAGGAGAGAGCCAGGCCGCATCCCCTCGGAGGACAAACTCCGCGCGTGCGGTAGGAAATCGCCTCCGCCGCGCTCTGGCCTTTAGCATCCAGTCCCCGAAGCTGACCCACATTCCCGGGAGGGGAATTGGAGGGGTGCGAAAAACTTTGTGGGAGATTTTCTCTTTCCCAGTCCTGAAGATCAAACCCTGGACTTAATGTGTGCACTGGGTGTGCTCTACTGCTAAGCTACACCCCAGCCGCAAGACCTTGAAGATATATTTCAACCCGGGGATTTAGCTCTGTGGTTCCGGCGCCTGCCTCGCAAGCGCAAGGTCCCGAGTTCAATCCCCGGTACCAAAAAAAAAAAAAAAAAAAAAAGAAAGAAAGAAAAAAAAGAGAAGATATATTTCAAAACGACCAAGCCGGGCATGGTGGCACATGCCTATGATTCCAGCTCTCTGGGAGACAGATGGGAGGAAGGCAAATTTGAGCCCAGCCTGGGTGGCTTATCGATGTAGTGAGACCCTGGCTCAAAAAATTAAAAAGGACTGGAGATGTAGTTCAGTAGGAAGGCTCTGGGTTCAAACCCCAGTATCAAAATGAATGAATGAGTTAAACAAACATACAACAAATACAACAAACAATCCCAGTGGCAGATTCTGTCATCCTTACTGGTTTTTTTTTTTTTTTGCTTACTGTTTTTTTTAAGCTGGGCTCTCATATGTTGCCCAGGCTGGCCTTAAACTCCTGGGCTGAAGTGATCCTCCTGCCTCCGGCTCTTTAGGCCTCTTCAGATAGCTGGGACTTATACCCCCATACCATCATGCCCAGAAACTAATGACCTTTTTTTCTTTTCTTTTTAATTTTAGATCTAGTTCTCTTCTTTGTTTTGTTTTTGTGATGCTAGGGGTTGAACTCAGGCCTTTGGGCATCCTAGGCAAGGACTCTACCACTGATCCATATGCCCAGCACATCTTTACTTAGTTATTGTGATGTTGGGGATCAAACCTGTGGCCTTGCATGTGTCCTAGCCTGCCTAATGACTTGGGTAGAACAGTGTAATATTCTTTCCTTTTTTTCCTCTCTCTTTTTTTTCTTTTTTTTTTGGAGGGGGTACCGGGGATCAAACTCGGGACCTTGTGCTTTCAAGGAAGGCGCCCGAACCACTGAGCTAAATCCCCGGCCCATGTAACATTCTTTTCTGATGAGGATCAGTTTGAGGCAAATTTACAAAATTAACATTTTTTTCCTCAGCATCAGGTTTTTTGTAGTTCAGCCACCAGTGTCCCTCAAACTTTCTGCTATAGATTTCTCATGGTCCAATATGGCTATAAATTAACATAGGGATAAGTAAGACTGACAACAGTTTAAAGTTGTTTAATGGCAAAAAATAAAACCATAACAGCAGCTAGTGGTGTTCACCTGAGAATGTCTACTGCCTCTAACCATGAACAGCTGGAGGCTTTCCATGGTGCCATTTCGAAAGGGAAAATAATAGAATGTTTTACTAATGAGTTAAAAATTAAAATATATGCTATATCCTGTGTGTGTGTGTATGTGTGTTAACAGAAAATTTTTGTGTCAGGAATCGAACTCAGGACCTTGAGCTTGCCAGGCAGGTGTGGTGCCACTGAGCTAAATCCTCAGTCCGTTAATAGGAATTGAATCCAGGGTCTTCACACTGAGCTACATCCTCAGTCGTTTTTTAAATACAGTGGACCCTCAAGTTACGACTGGCCTGATGTATGAACAACTTGGATTAATTAGATTAATGCGAGATTCATCTACCTCTGGTTATCTATAGTGTGACCCAGGTGAACATCCAGATCTTAGCTGTATTGACTTACAACGAACTTGAGTTACAACCAGCCCTTGGGAATCAATTGAGTTTGTAAGTCAAGGATCTACTGTATTTTATTTGGAAACAGGGTCTCACTAAGTCACTAAGTTACTCAGGCTAGGCTCGAACTTGCCGCCTGCCTGCCTCCACCTCCCAGAGTGCTGGGATTATAGGCCTGCACCACCACACCTGGCTGACTTTGTCTCTTTTTATGGTGACAGCTCATTTTCTCATTCATTCAGCAGCACAATCATTGACTGTTTTCTGCATGACAGGCCAGACTGGTCCACCTGGCCCCAGCCTCCCTGGATCCACCTCCTGCCCTTGCCCTCCGGCCCCACGCACACCTCCTGCATTCTGCCTGCGCAGGGTTTCCTGGCACACCCCATAACCAACAGCTGTGCCACACAGCGGTACAGCTGCCCACTGCACGACTCCCTTGCTAGCCCACGCCGCGTGGGTGAGACCCTCTTACCACTGTGCTCCTGCTGCCCCCAGCAGGCCTGACCTGTGACAGGTGCCCCACCTTCCTGTCTCTCACAGCCCAGGGCCTCTGCAGAGGGTGTCTCTTCCCCCCACCCCACCCCTGTCAGTTCTGCCCTGGCGACCCACAGTTCTGTGGAGCCTTCCTCCTAGGCCTCGATTTCCTCCCTAGATGCATGAATCCCTTCTCTGGCCCCATGCCACTCGAGACACTCTTGCCCCTGTGGACACTGGCTTGTATCTTCTATCCTGGCCCCTACACAGTGCTGGATACTGGTCTAGATGTGTAGATTTCAGCAGTGAATCCATTGGCAAAAACCCTATCCCCATGGCCTGCACTGGGGAGGGCAGACTAAAAGTCAGCAGGGCTGGTGGGGTAGCTCATGCCCAGCATACTCATGGCCTTGGGTTCAATCCTCAGCACTGAAAAAAGAAAAGAAATGAGTAACATGTACAATGTAGACAGAAAGTGGAAGTATTAAGGACAAGAACAGAGCAGGGAAGGGGATAGGAAGAGTTGGTGTTGGAGGAAGACTTTTTTTTTTTTTTTTTTCCGGTACCAGGGATCAAACTGAACTCGGGTCCTTGCACTTGCAAGGCAGGTGGTGCAACCACTGAGCTAAATCCCCAGCCCCCCTCCCTTTTAAAATAAAAGACAATTTATTTGAAGGTGGGGAAAGGGAAGGGAGAGGGAGAGGGAGGCTACTTTGGAGGAGTAGGGAGTAGGGAGCACTCCAAAGGGAAATACTGGTGGATTCTTGTCTGCAGCTCCCTTTTATTGAGATCCTTGGCCCATGTAGGCCCCTGGAATCTGATTGGCTCCCTGGTTGTCTTTGGCCCTCCCCTTGGATTTCTTCTGGTTAGATGAGGAAGTCTTGACAATATCTGGTGAGGGGACCATGCTGGACAAAGGTCCCGACTGGGGGCATGGGGAGGTGATGTGCGGCTGGAGAGGAGGTGAGCAAAAGGGACAAAACAAGGCTCCAGGTCAGGCGGGCCTGCACTCCTAAGAGGGACTTGGGCTTTGGCATTCTGCTAGGTTCCAGTGGCAAGTTTTGGGCAAAGGTGACACGATCTCACTTTAACAGGATCAGAGTGAAAAAAAGATGAAGTGGGGTTGAAGGCAGAAGCAAGGTGACCGCTAGGAAGAGACTGCCCCAGTCCAGGTGAGAGGAGGGTTCGGACCGCGGGACTCAGGAAGTCAGAGAGGGAAAGAGCCGCAGTGAGGAGTCAAAAATGACCGGATGTTTTGACCTGCACAACCGGAAGGGTGGGGCGCTGGGAAGGAGAGGTGAAGAGCTTGGGACCAGCTGTGGGAAAGGCCGGTTGTTGTCTGGTGGAACTGCTGAGCAGATAGCTGGGTACCCAGGTCTGGGGTTCAGAACACACATTTTGGGCGTCACCAATGTAGAGATGCTGTTGGAGGACCACAGGAGGTCCTAAGGAAAGCAGGTGTTTCAAAGAAGGGGAGAGGGCTGGACAGGTCACGAGCACCGCTGCGAGTCTGGGGAAAACGTGGCTGGGCAGTGAATAAAGAAATGCCTGGTCTGCCTACATCTGCAAAGTACAGACAGGCAGAGACAAAATGGGTTTAGGTCACAAGAACATTTGGAGACATGGCACACAGAACCACGGCATCTGGGTGTTGGAAAAGACCTTAAACAGATCGTTTAATCGGCACGCCTCTCCCCACCCCAGCCTGACATTTGAATCCCTAGGTCCAGAACAAGAAATATGTGTGGGACACTGAGGCAGCCAGCATGGCCAGGTCAGTCAGGGGCAGTTGCGTGGAAGAATGGGAGGAAGGGTAGTTGTATGAATGCTGGAGAGCAAGGGCTGAGGGAGGGACTAGAGATGATCTCCCTGGTTAGAAGCCTCCATCTGCTCTTCCTCAGCCTCTGTCCTGGGGGAAGTCACGCCCCCGTGCCTCAGTTTCCCAGTGTAACATGGGACCAAGACATCTTCCCCGTGGGCCCCAGGGTGGCAGTGAGGTCTGAGTGTGGAGTGGAGTGTGGCGATGGAGTAACTGCCCGCCTGGGTTGGCTGGTCACTGCAGCGAGGAAGGAGGACGAGAGCTCTGGCTGGGACAGGCGACGGAACTGGGGATAGGGAGGGACGGGTCCTGTCCTCGTTGGCTCTGTGGACGCGGCCAGGATCTGAGCCGCCGTGGACAGGGCTAGGCGGCCAGAGGGGCCCTGATTTGCCTCTAGAGCCTGGAACGGAGATGGAGGTGACCCCGAGGCAGCAGCAGGGAGAAGAAACGGAGATGCCGAGGTACTGAGACTCGCAGACTGGGGCGGCGGACCAGGACCCCGAGGCCCCAGGGACAGGGTGAGGCCCCGGGGCGCAGAGCGTGGCCCGGCTGAGCCCCCGTGCGCCGCGAAGTCGCGGGGTCCCCGCGGAGCAGGGCGGCCGCGCTCGCCCAAGATGGCGATGCAGGGGCGGGCGAGGCGGCCGCGGCCCGCGTCCCCCCGCTCTTCGGGCCCGGGCCCCCGAGGCCGCGCCCCCGCCCGCGGCGCCGCGCCTCCCCGGGCCACTGACGCCCGGCGCGCCCTCCCCCCGCGGCGGCGGCCGAGCGCCGGGAGGCGGCGGCGGCCCGAGCCCGGCCCCATGGCGCGGGGGGACGCGGGCCGCGGGCGCGGGCTCCTGGCGCTGACCTTCTGCCTGCTGGCCGCGCGGGGTAAGGGGCGCGGGGGGCGGCGGGCGCGCGCCGGGTTGCGGGGTCCCCGTCCCGAGGGCGTGCGGGGCCCCGCGTCTGGCGCCCCCGATCCCGGCTCGTGGGGGCTGCGGCCGCGCCTGTGGGTCCGCAGGGGGTGTGTGTCCTTGGCGTGCAGGGCCCGGAGTAGCGCGTGTGCGTGGCGGGACCCCGCGCGTGTTCGCGTCCGCAGAGCCCCCACGGTCGCGCCGTGGCTCCGACGCTTGTGGCTCCCGGGACGCGCCGCGCTGGCCCGCGCGTGTCCGGGGTGTGGAGGCGCGGGGAGGGGGTGCGGGTCTGCACTTCCATTTGCGCGGGCGCGCGTGTAACTGTGTCTCCCGGGCTGAGCTAATATTTGGCCTTGGCTTTTGGGGAGTGTCCTTCCCCTAAGTGGGGGGACCGCGGGGATTCCGGGTTGACTGGGGAAGGTAAACAACAACATTCAACTTTGCCCAGTGGGTGTGGTCCCTGGGGCCAGTAGGGGCTGGGGCAGTGGAGGTGTTGCGCCCCCAAAGCCGTGGCCCCAGGGGCCTGGCGGAGGCATAGGGACCAGTTGCGTTTGTGGCGGCGTCTGGCACTCTCGCTACCGCTGGGACGCGTGTCACTCGCGCCCTGAGCGTGGATGGGGTCAGCCGGGCCACCCCGGGCGGGAGAGAGAGGGGTGGGCGGCAGAGTTGTCCATGGGGGCTCCTTCCTCCGCCCCAGCGCCGCACTCCCGGTCCGATGTGCGTTTGGGGGGCCCAGGGAGGCTGGGGGAGGGGACGGGCTGCCCGCTTTGTTCGCCTGGTTCTTGCGTCCCCAGCGCGGGGGGTGGGGGGTGGGGGGGCCTGAGGATGTGTCCGGGGCGAATCGGGGAGGGACTTGGCGGTGGGGGTGGGGAGGGGGATTTCGCTCCAGCTGCTGCGGCCTTGCAGAGACTCAGCCAGGCCACGTGGGAGGGGGGGGGGACTGAGCCTCCGCGGGCGGCCCCAGGCCCATCCCCAGCGGAACCGCGGGTGGGAAAGCGCGGGGCACTGCGGGGACCTCTTCTCTCCGCAGATTCGCACCCCTCTCCTGCCCAGACTGCGGAGTTGTCAGGTTGAAAGGGTCCAGGAAGTGTCAGGAGGCATCAGTCCTCCCCGAGCCCAGCCGTTAAGAAATAGTTGTGCTATACACACACACACACACACACACACACACACACACACGCTACTTTTGGTTCCTCCAAGAGCTCCTGGAGTGCAGTGACACCTAGCAAAGCGGGACTGGGGCTGGGCACCGCACCAGCGCAGCAGGATACCGTGGGGACCTCGGCCCAGGGGCTCAGGACTTGGCCTCTGACTGCTCTTCATTGCACAAGTCAGGGGAGGCCCCGCTGGGCCCTGGGAGTGGCTACAGCAGCTCCTCTGCATGCCCTGCCCACACTCCGGTGAGTGTGCAAAGCTCAGCAGGGACACTTCTGCAGAATTCTGCCTCGCCACCGTGATGATGTTCATTCCTTCGTTCATTGCACAGCGTTTGCTGAACAGCTTTTATAGGCCAGCGAACGCCCATGCCTAGAATGCAGTCAGTAAGGAGGCAGGCGGGTCCCTGGTGGGAAGCTTCAAGGTTGGGGTTGGGGTGGGAAGTTGGGGGACGACTTCAAGTACCCTGCGGAAGAGGGGCTCCTGTGCCAGCCACGGAAGGTCAGGAAAGGCTTCCTGGAGAAAGTGGTGATAACATGGAGGGGGCGGCAGCCCCTTAGAAGAAGAATCCTGCTGATGGGGAGAGGTTTCGAGAACAGTATGTGCGAACACAGGTGGTTCAGTTTCCACCCAGAGAATGAAGCTAAATCTGGCTGGAGCCTAGAACACAAGGCCAGGCAGGGAGTTAGGCAGGTGGAGGAGGGATGGGGCAGGGGACATGCGTATGGACAGAGGATGCCGAGGAGGGTGGTGAGGCCCAACCCAGGAAGGGCAGTGTGGCCCCAGCTGGGGTGGAACATGGATGGCGCAGGGTGGAGGCAGGAAGCCCCAGCGCTTGGAAGGCGTCAGTGGTCACCCTGAAGGGAGGCTGGTGGCACCTGGCAGTGGGGAAGCCAGAGTGTCTGTATTCTGGAGATGTTAAGGCAATGGAATCTGTGAGATGCAAGAATAGGTCGAGTTTGTAGGGAGGAAGGGAGAGGGGAGGAAAAATGATAGCTTGCTCAGCAGCCCATGGGGCAAAAAGGAGGTTGGTATTGAGGTCGGGTCCTGCCAGGGTCTGCCTGTTTCCACCTCCCTGACCTTGCTCGGGGGTCAGGGATCAGGGACTGTGGGGACCTTTGTAGGAACTGGGCTCCTGTCTGAAGGCAGTGGGGGGAAGCTGAGCTCTTTCACCACATGTGAGAAATGGGGTCCTCCATCCACCCAAGTCAGAATGTGATCACAGGGAACCCAGAGGTCAGCCGTAGGGGCTCCAAGGCCAATGGCTCTTTCTTCTCCCTGGGATCCCTTTCTCAGCCTGGAAGCCAACTGCACTCAGTTGAGGTGGTCCCCTCTGAACCATCTCAGAGGTGCAGAGCCAGGTCAGCCGCTGGGAGCGTCTCTGAATAGTGACTCGTACTCAGCTGGCGTTTGACCCTTCACTGATCTTGTGTGTACTTTCATGGCCCCATTAAGCAACGTTGGTGTGTCAGTTAGCATTTCCTCTCTTTTCTCCTAATGATATCTCTTTCCAGTTAAGGGATCTCACAATGAGAGCGTCATGGAATGTCTGCACTGAAAGAAATTTAGAAATCATTTTAGCAGGAGCCTGTTTCACAGATGAGAAGACAGCGGCTTCCCAGAGTTCCACAGTTTAGGACTTGAATTCTCTGGAGTTGGAACCCATCTCCCAGCTCTTGGTCCTTGCCCCACAAGGCTGTCTGGAGCCGAGGTCCTTTGAGGGGAGGGAATAGGCTCACACCCCTAAGTCACCTCCTCTGAATTCCTGGATAAGTTAGCAGCCGTAGGCCTGCCCCTCGGTTGGTCTGTCTGGGGTGTGGAATCCACTCTCCTTCCCACCCTCTTCTACCCAGTCGCCTCCTTCGATCCCCTCCAGTGTCTCTGAGGTACTGCAGCCAGTCTTGACAGGGAATCCCAGATGTGGAACAGATGTCTTTTTGAGCCGGGCCTGGGGGCTCCCAGCTCCCAGGGGTCAGGGCCAGAGTAAGAGTGGCTCTGAGGGAGAGGATCCCAGCCTGGCAGAGCAGGGACCAGGGCAGGGTGAGCAGAGCAGATGTCCTGGGCCTGATGTGCTGTCTTCTAGGGCAGCTGTGCCGAGGCTGAGGCTGAGGTATCCTCTGGATCTGGGGGGCCATGGAGCAGAGGGGTCAGGGAAGCCAAGGATCAGTCCGTGCAGACCCAGGACTCCTGGATGGTCCAGGAAGGGGCTGGTTATCTTGTCACGTGGTTCAGAGGACAGAACGCTGACGAGTGAGCGGAGCCTAAGGAGACACAGGTGGGCACAGGAGAAAGATGTTTCTAACCCTTGGGCCTCACAGCCAGGGGACAGGAAGCATGCTGAGCTTCTAACCCTGGTCACTTCTGTGCAGTTGCTTTCACTGTGGGTTTGCTGTCCCATCTGTGCATTCAAAGTATTTTTTTAAGTGTCTAGTAGGCGCCATATAGCATGCTTGAGAATTTGTCTAGATATTACTCACATTGTCCCCACCCGTGAAGGACATAACTGTTACTTTTTATTTTCTTTCTGAGACAGAGCTTTCCTGTGTAGTTCAGACTGGCCTCGAACTCACAGTGATCCTCCTGCCTCAGCCTCCCAAGTGCTGGGATCACAGGTGTGCACCACCACACCTGGTACCTTACTGTTATCTTTGCAGGTAAAGAAATTGAAGCTTGGAAAACCATAAGGAGCTCTATGTCTTTTTTTTTTGTAGTACTAGGGATTGAATCCAGGGCCTCACACACGCTAGGCAGGCACTCTACCATTGAGCTACATTCTTATCCCTTTTTAAATTTTATTTTGAGAGAGAGTCTCTTTAAGTTGCTCAGGCTGGCCTCGAAGTCACGATCCTCCTGCTTCAGCCTCCTAAGTGCGATTCCATGTATGCACCCTCCACCCAGCTTGTCTTACCGTTCTTTGGTGTGTGTTCACATGTCCACTCATCCATTCGAGGAGTATTTATTGATCTAGGTATTGTTCTAGGCACTAAAAATTTAGAAAGTGGACCAGGATGTAATCCCAAGTTTGTTGCCTAGTTGTGGAGAAAGGGGAGTCAGAAATCTTAAGTGATAACTGTCTACATCAGTGGACGGGATGGCCATTTTAAGGAGTGGGAGTGACACCAGGGACACAAGGTGCTTTCAGAGACCCGGAAGTGGTTCGCTGTGGCCTCTGGCGAACAGGAACAAGAGGTGAGACGGTCAAGCTCCGTGTGTTGTCGCCGTCTCCCCAGCCGAGGCTGAGTCTGTCCCCCCGGATTGTAGATGTGGGAGGAAGCTGAGTCCCTTCTTGTGTCCCAGGTGACAAGCCCAGCTCCCCTTCCAGCTGTTGGTGTGAGGGCTTAGGTTGTGGTCAGGGAAGCGGCCGAGGGTCTGGGAGAGACTGACTTTCGTCTTGTGGGAAAGAACGGTGCTGATGTCACAGAGAATTACCCGAGACTGTGAACAAGCCAGGAATCTGTGGGGCCTTGACATTGAGATGTGACAAAGCTCTGAAGCCTGTGTAGTTCTTGGCCTAATGAAGGTGTTGGGGCCTTGTCGTCCCCCCGCCATGGGGCCCTTTCCTGAGAGTTCAAGGAAGGCTGAATCTCACCTGAGGCTCCTGCTGACCCCGCTGAACGGCAAACGGCACCGAGCTGGCCCTGGCACTTTCGGCAGGTCTCCTTTCTGGCAGGGTCTAATTGGCCTCATAAAATCGAATTCGTCCTGTAATTGGGTAAAATCTGCTAGAAAAGGAGACAGAGCGATGGCCCTGGGTTCCCAGGCACAGAAACTCTGGGTCTCTGGCAGGGTCTGATTGAAAAGATTCAGGGGAACGGGTGGTGGGAGAGGGAGGTCGTCAGGCCGAAAGCTGCAGACCTGACTGTGGCATCCTAGTCCTGAGAGGAGGCCAAAAATGTACTGGGAGTGGTGGGAGTCAGCGGACTGGGAGTGGCAGAGAAGGTGTAATTACCAAGCTCCCTGCTCAGAACCTCACCTTTTGTGTGTGTATGAGACAGGGTCTCGCTGTGTAGCTCGGGTAGCCTTGAACTCAGTATGTAGCCCAGGCTGGCATCAAACTCATGGTGACCCTCCTGCCTCAGCCTCCCCAGTGCTGGGGTTACAGGTGTGCACCACCAGGCCTGGCTCCCAGAGCATCACTTTTACAAAAAGATTTGGCGGTGAAGGAACCACATTTATATCAAAACAAACATGGCTGTGATGTGGAGCAGAATATGTGCTAGGGGGTTAAAAATAAAAACAGTAGTGAGCCTCAGGCATAGGTTCTCTTCTGCTGTTGAGAGAATTTTTTTGTGCTGAGGATTGAACTCAGGACCTTGCGCTGGCAAGGCTGGGACGGTGCCTCTGAGCTAAATCCCTGGCCTAGAGAATTTGATGAAAATGTTGCAGAAGTCTGGAGAGTCCTCATTTTCAGGTTGGGGAAACTGAGGCTGAAGGAAGGGAAGGAACTGACCCACAGGTGTGCAACAAATGACTGGATCTAGAACCCAACCCCAGCATTTGCCCCAGCAACTCCTATTGTCTGACCAGGCAAGAGGAAGAACAGGAAAGAGCCATCCAAGTGGCGCTTGATGTGAGATTTAGGAAATCCTGGGCTCTGTCTCCCAGAGATGAGAACCTGCTTTCTGGTCCTCAGCTTCCCCGTCTGCAAAATGGGAGTCCTCGGGCTTCGCAGACACTGAAGATGGCACTGAAGTGGGCCATCTTGGGCTTCAGGCACAGCTCTTGCTCTCTGAGGGGACCCCTGAGGTTCTCCCTGCGTCCCCATCCCTGTCGGGTTCCTTGTTCCAGCCTGCTGGGCTCCAGGCTCCTCTGACGTGGCCTAGCTAGACATCTGCTGATCCATGAATATTCAGGAAGGGAATCAGAGCCTCCCAGGCTGGCCCCTGGCCACTATCCTGCCTGCCCGCCACAGCCCAGGTTGCTGACAGACCCAGCAGCTGCTTGGGCCCCAACTGTTCGAAGTGTTTGTTCATCGCGGCAGGGGATTTTCCAAGCCCTGGAAGGACGGCTTAGGGGTGGGGGAGCTGCTGGAGGGCCCACGGATCACTCTCCTGTGAGCTTTCCCCTCCTGAAACCCTCTGCTGGGGTGGGAACAGCCATTGGAAGGCGGCCTGAGAGCCACTTGCCCCCCTGAACCCTATGTTTGGATCGAGGCACCCAGGGCCTGGAGATTGGGGGGGGGGGACTGCGTGTCGGGAGAGCGTCTGCATTTCACCGCCTTTCAGTGTACACTGGCTCTGAAGACCGAGCTGCCCCAAGTCCGTTAGGCCCTAGGCTGTAGCCCTGACATCTGTGGTCTTGATCCTCCCAAGCTCAGGAGTATCATGTGGAAACTGAGTCCTGAGGCTGAGTGGCTCGTCAGACAGCTGGAGGGGGAGTGGTGAGACTGAACTTTGGTCTTCTGCCCCAAGGTTAGATGGGCCACAGCGAGAGGCCTGCAGGAGTGTGAGTACGAGTGGAAACTCGGAGGGGCAGGAGCTGCCTGTCCCCTCTGCACCCACCAGTACCACCAAGGCCAGTGGTGCCCCGAGATGTCTGGTCCTGTCGGTCTACCGGTCCTTTGAAGTGAGTCTCAAGGCCCTGGCTTCTGGGCTGGTCCCCCTGTCTCGGCCAGCTGGGACTTCTCTTCTCCCCTCCAACCTTGTTCTTCTTTGGAGGGGACAGACAGGGGTCTAAGTGTTGATGCCGACGTGGGTGTGTGTGTGTAGGTACTGGCGAGTGTGGCAGAGACAGAGGTGCACACGTCCCAGGAAGCAGAATTGTGTCTCCCCTCTGTGTGTCTAGTTTGTTACATGCCTGCTCAGGGATGACTGTAGTAGAATAGTGAATCGAGGCTCAGAAGAAGTGACCAGGCCAAGGCCACACAGCCAGGCCACACAGCCAGACTGTGACAGAGCTGACTCCTGATTTCCTAGCATCATGCTTGGTCCCCTGCGTGGCTCTGTCACCTCAGGCCTGCCTTGGGGTGCCTGTGGGATGTTCCTCGCCTCTGCCGAGGTTCACTCTGAGACGTGCCATTCCAAATTAAAGCACGAGGACCGGGGATTTAGCTCAGTGGTTCCGCCGCCTGCTTAGCAAACATAAGGTCCCAAGTTCGATCCCCGGTACCAAAAACAAACCAAATTGAAGCATGAGTCCAGCCAGAGGATGGGAAGGGACCTTGGGCCATTGACCTCTTAGGGGATAGGGAGGTGACAGGCCAACCTTCCCGAAGACACCCAGGGAGAGCCAACCACTTCTCAGAATAATGGTGACGGGGCCCTGTGCCCTGGTGGCTAAAATAATAAATGTTGCCGTTGTGGTTTTGCCTTAGCCATGAATGGCTTCCTTCACAGCTCCCTTCCTCTTCCTTCCATAGCAAGACCCTGTTGGGGACTGCAGGACCTTCTGCAGCCTGGGGAAAGAGAAGAACTCGCTTGGTCCGGAGACCCAGGTCCTGACGCTGCCCTCCCGTGTGACCCTGCAGACAGTAGATGCGGGTAGAGCACAGCTTTTCCAGCCGCTAGAGCTGAAGAGGCAGCTGGCTGCCGGGGCTCAGTCCCCCAGGGCCTGGAACAAGCTGTGGGAGCTCCTGTGGGCTTGCTGTGAATCCAGCTTGACTCCAGCCCCTTAGACTCAGAGGCATGAGCTGGGCATAGTGGTCCACGCCTGTGATCCCAGCACTCAGGAGGCTGAGGCAGGAGGATCAGTATGAGTTCAAGGCCAGTCTGGGCTACCTAGTGAGACCCTGTCTCAAAAACCAAAGAGCTCCACCGCCTGCCTCGAAAGAACAACGTCCCGAGTTCAATCCCCAGTACCAAAAAAAACCAACCCCAAAACAAAGAGCAAGGTAGCAAAAGAGTGAGACAGTGAGACAGCCATTCACGCATGTGTATTCTCCTACTCATAATACATTTTATTTTATTTTTATTTTTTGTGGTGCTGGGATGGAACCCAGGGTGTCACACATGCTAGGCAAGTGCTCTACCTCTGAGCTACGTCCCATCCCTTGTAATGCGTTTTAAGAGTTCCCTGGCTATAGCTCCTTTCTAGCCTCTGGCATATTTTGCGTATTTCTGGTTGGATAATAATAGTCGATATGATGTTAGGTTCCAGGGGAGGAAGTGACATTATGGAGCCTGCATCCTGTGCCGGGCAGTGCCACCCTCTCTTCACACCTCACCTTCTCCGATGCTCATGACAGCCCAATTTGGAAGGAGTTAGGCTTTTTAAAATTGAGATAGAAGTTGGGGCTGGGGATTTAGCTCAGTGGTTCCACCGCCTGCCTCACAAGCACAAGGACCCGAGTTCGATCCCTGGTACCAAAAAAAAAGAAATTGAGATAGAAGTCACATAACCCACAATGCACTGTGCACAGTGTACAAGGTAGTGGGGTTTTGTTTTTAGCATACTGACAAGGTGGCGTAGCCATGGCCCCTAATTCCAGAACATTTCCGTCACCCCAAAGAGAAACTTCAGTTACCCCTGTTCTCTGCCCACATCCCTGGTAACCATCAACCAGCTCTCTGTATTTATGGATTGGCCCATTCTGGACATTTCATGGGAATGAGATCACACAGTAGGTGGCATTTTGCGAATGGCTTCTGTCCCTCGGCATAAAGTTCACCAGGTTCACCCACACTGTGGTGGGTGTCGGAGCTTCGGTCCTTTGCTGGCTGAGTAGTCCATTTTTCGGCAGGCAGAAAACTGTGGGTGGTTTGTGTGTTCCAGCTGCCATGATAATGCTACCCCAAACTGGTCTCTTTGTGGGTGAAGAAGTCGAATGGAGGGAGGACAGGTGCAGGGGTGGACAGTGGCTCAAGATCCCAGTGAGCAGGGAGCGCTAGGTCAAGCATGGGTCTCTCTGTGACCGGGCTTAGCCCTGGGTGGTGGTTTAGGAGCAGAGGCTGTGACTGATGGCCCTGATGCTTCCTCTTCCGAGCAGGGGAGCTGCCGTTACCCCAGGAGACAACTGCAGAGCTGAGCTGCGACCTGGGGCCACTGCATGTGATCCTGGGCCCGAGGCAGGCTGCTGTGCTGAACTGTAGCCTGGGCACTCCTGCCACTGGGGCCCCCAGCCAGGTGACTTGGAGCAAGGATGGGGATGACCTGCCAGAGTATGACCACCTGCAGCTGCTGCCCAATGGCTCCCTGTGGCTGTCCCCACCACCAGCTCATGAAGACAGTGGTACGGCAGCCCCTATGGCCGTGGGGACCATCGAGGGCCACTATTCCTGCCTGGCCCATGGCCCCCTCGGAGTGGTGGCCAGCCAGGCTGCGATGGTCAAGCTTGCCAGTAAGTGCCTGCCTCTGGGGGCGGGATCTGCAGTTAGCTTACTGCCCAAAAGCTGCCTTTGGAGCCCACGCCCCCTTTCCCTGCCTCTGTCCTGCTCAGCGGCCCTGGCCTTGTGTGGTCCACCTCTGTGGCTCAGTATCCTCCCCACTGCTTCTGCACAACCCCCCCCTTCCTTTCCGGGCCTGTGAGTTCAGAGTCTGGAGTTGTTCGCCTCCAGGCAGCCCAGAGAGGCTGCAAGAGGTCGGGGACCCATGGGCGCCTCCTCTGGCAGCTACACCCTGCAGCCCAGTGTGTCCTGCTGCCCTGGCCCTTGCGAGCTCTCGGGAGCCCCAGGCCGCATGAACTCGCTTCAGCACCTTACTGCAGGGCCGCACCATGGCAGTGTTGGGCAGGGGGACCCCGGAACCCAGTCTGCCAGCAGCGTCTGACCAGCAATCACCACCGCTTGTCCCTCGTGGTTCCGTCACTGTGCTTCATGTGTGTCACTGTGCTCACTGTGGTCCCCCCACCCTTGCCCCGTGCACCTGCCCTGTCCCTGTCCGTGTCTGTCCGTCCCCGTCCCCAGCACTTTCAGACTTCTTTCTGCACCCGGAGCCTCAGATGGTGGAGGAGAATGGGACTGCTCGCTTCGAGTGCCACGTTGAAGGGCTGCCAGCCCCTGTCATTACCTGGGAGAAGGACAAGGTGACGTTGCCTGACGAGCCTCGGTGAGTGCCCTGTGGGGTGGTTCCTGTCGGCAGGGCCGAGAGGGCTCGGGGTGGGTTTGGAACTGGGATGCTTGGAGTTCGGGTGGCTCCATTTGCCTAACCTAACTTGAAAGCCAACCACCATGTGGCTTCCAGTTCATTTCTGGTCTAGAGAGAAGTTGGACAAGAGGTTTAGGCTCCCTGGGAGCACAGCCACCCCCAGCTGAGGTAGTGGTAGGGTCCTGTGCACACATCTAGTCCAACTCCCTGCTTTCCCAAGGAGCCTGAGACCCAGAGCGACCGAGGTCCATCCAGGGCCACCCAGTGAGCCATGGGCAGGTGTTGGTTGTTCATGAAGGGCCCTGAGGCTGCTGGGGGAGCCCCACCCTGGATGCATACCCACTTTGAATGCTACCCAGTAGGCTGTGGAGGTCCTTCCGGTGTCACCTCCCTCCCCCGCATAAAGGCAGTGATAGGTGGAACAGTCCCTGGGAAGGTTGGTAGACAGGGAGAAAGCAGCTGCCAGGCCCAGGACCTGGTTCCTGTTGTGGCCCCCTGGGCAGGTCCAGACCTGCAGAGAGTGCGACCAGTCACATGTCTAGTCCCCAGCTGGCTCCGCCTCCCGCTGTGCTGGGGAAGTGGGATTCCTTGGGCTGCCTTGCAACACATTTTTTTTTCTGGTACTGGGAATCAAACTCAGGAGTTTGCACTTGCCAGGCAGGCACGGTGCCACTGAGAAAAATCCCTGACAACCCTGCCTTGCCGATTGTCCTCCCAGGAACTCCCCTCTCCTCTGTCCTACCTCCTCTGACTTTTCCCAAATGGAGATAGGCATGGAAGGTAGAGGAGAGACTGCTGGGTAGCAAAACCACAGGCCTCTGTGAGGGCAAAGGTTACAGAAGGGGCCGTGAGCTCAAGGTGAATGAGATCTGTGGACTTAGCGGTGGCTGAGCCCCCATCCTTAGCGCTTCATCCTTCTCACCCAGCCTGAGTCCCACAACATCTGTGAAGGGGGTTGGGGTCGATTAGACCCTCATTTCCCAAAGTGTGGTTTTTGTAGAACACTAGTTCCTTAAGGTGCTTCTTGAAAAAAAATACTTGATCATTAAATAGAACAGGAAACTGCTTATACATGTCCCTGTTGGAGTTAGCATGGCCCTGAGAAGTCAGCATGGCCCTGCTGTACGGAAAGATTTGTTTAATTTGTTTAACCAAGCCTGGCCCGGGCCCACCTGCCCAGGGACCTTTGACTGTGTCTGCTCCTTCCCGGGGGCAACCCCTGAATCCACAGCAGGTAGGCTGGGCTCATGGGAACCAAGCATGGGCCCACTCCTGACAGCCCGGAGAGGGTGGAGAGAGCGGAAGAGTATCCATAGGTTGGCAGGCACCACGGGCCCCTCCTCTTTTCCTTCCCTCCCCTCGCATCCCTTCTTTTCCCTTTTCTCTTACTTGTTCTAGGGATTAGGGATTTTCTCTCTCTCTCTCTCTCTCTCTCTCTCTCTCTCTCTCTTTGCATACTAGGGATTGAACCCAAGACCTTCACACTGAGCTGGATCCCCAGCCTTTTAAAATTTTTTTTTTTGGTACCAGGGATCAAACTCAGGACCATGTGCTAGCGAGGTGGGCAGTGGAACCACTGAGCTAAATCCCTGGTCCTTTAAAGTTTTTATTTTGAGACAAAGTCTTGCTAAATCGTCAAGTTCCCTGGGCTGAGCTCGAACTTGTGATCCAGCTTCAGCCTCCCAGAGTGCTGTGGTCACAGGTGTGCGGCCCCACATCCAGCTCCTTCCCCCTCTTCCCTTCCTTTTCTTTCCTCTCTCTCCTTCTCTCCTCCCCCCCTCAGTTGTGGGACTATGAACCCAGGGCCTCACACATGCTAGGCAAGTGCTGTGTCCCTGAGCTACAGCCCCAGCCCCACGGGACCCATTTTCTGAGAGTTTCCTTGGACCAGGCACTGCTACACCTTTTCTATGTGTATTCTCATCTGACCCTTCCCATCATTCTTCAAGGTAGGAATTTCTCATTTTTCTACATTTAATTTATATTTATAGAAGATGTATTTAAAATTTCATGTAAGCAAAAGAGAAAAGAACTATTTGTTATCGCCCTTGTTAGTTAGTTTTTTTGTTTTGTTTTGTTCTTTTAGTGGTACTGGGAATAGAACCCAGGGGTGCTCTACCACTGAGCTACATCCTCATCCCCTTTTCTTTTTCTTTTTTCTTTTTTGGTACTGAGAATCAAACTCAGGGCCTCACACTTGCTGGGTGGGTGCTGCACCACTAAGATACATCCCTGGCCTTCATTGTTAGTTTTGATATCTGTTTATTTGTGTTTTGGGGTTTTTTCTTGGTACTGGGCATCAAACTTGGGACCTTGTGCTTGCAAGGCAGGTGGCAGAACCACTGAGCTAAATCCCCAGCCCTTGATATCTGTTTTCAGGATTTATTTTTCTATATGTTTATAAATACTTTTTAAAAAATTATTTATTTATTTATTTTTTGAGACAGGGTCTTACTGTGTAGTCCAGGCTGGCCTCAAACTCACCGCAATCCTCCCGCCTCAGCCTCCCAAGTGCTGGGATTATGGGTGTGTGGCACCATGCCTGGTTTATAAATACTCTTTAAAAATATTTAGATTATATTGTACACATTGGGTTTTTTGTTCAATTGATGACAATAAGGGCCGGGGATTTAGCTCAGTGGTTCTGCTGCCTGCCTTGCAAGCGCACAGACCCAAGTTCAATCCCCGGTACCAAAAAAAAAAAAAAATTAATGATAATAAGATATTTGGGCCTGAGGATTTATCTCTGGTTCCACCGCCTGCCTCGCAAGCACAGGGTCCCAAGTTTGATCCCCGGTACCAAAAAAAAAAAAAAATTAATGATAATAAGATATTTGGGCCTGAGGATTTATCTCTGGTTCCACCGCCTGCCTCGCAAGCACAGGGTCCCAAGTTTGATCCCCGGTACCAAAAAAAACCCCCAAAAAACATTGATCTCAAAACAAAAAATTTTTTCATTTAACAAGTAATGAACATCCGTCCAGATCTGTGTATATGGGTATGGGAGATGTTATTGTCTGAACTGCCAGATGAAGGGACTGAGGATCAGAGACAGAGTGACTTTGCCAGGTCAGCCAGCTGATCCCCAGAGTGGTGGATGCCTGGGCCCTCGCGGGTGGATGAGACACAGGCCCATGGGTGTGACTTGGTGGAGGAGCTTCGGGGCCTGAAGGAGTGCGCTGCGAGCGGCCGTAGAGATCTGTGGTCCAACCGGGGCCCAGACCACAGAAGCTGCTTCTGCAAAGTTTCTCAGTAAGCCAGGGGCGTCCGGACCTCCACTCCCATCATCCAGTTCAGGCCTCCACCCACAACGGCGGAGCCCAGAGCTGCCTGGCCTGGGCTCGGAGAGTGTTTGCCCCCGGGTCCTCTGAAAAGTGATCCTGGTTTGTAATTAAGCCCGGCTCAGATGTCCTAGCACATTGTGTGAGGGAATAAAGAACCGTCTACAGCAGCAACCCGAGGTATGTATTTTCACACGTGCTCGGATATAGCACATGTAAAATGACAAACACGCTATTCATACCCTCGAGGCAGCTCGCCGGCGCCGGGCATGCACGTGTGCAGTTAATAAACACTCAGCCGGGGTTATGTGCATATTTTTGGATCTGACTAAAGACTAGACCCCAAGGCACTTCCTTGGTACTTACGCTAATTTTTAATAATAGGGGATAAAGTAGGGGATAATTTTTCCCATGGAAACCTGTAATCAATGAAAGCAGTATTTCCCAATGCGGGGCATTCACAGCCGCCTCCATAATTCCAGCCATCCTTATGCCATTTACACAGAGTTTTTGTTTGCATCAACTTGCTCTCTTGTAACTTAGCACATATTAAAAGAGCATTATCTGGCCGGGCATTTGGCTCAGTGGTTCCGCTGCCTGCCTTGCAAGCTCAAGGTCCTAAGTTCGATCCCCGGTAGCAAAAAAAAAAAAAAAAAAAAGAACATTATCAAACCAGGGCTGTAGCTCAGTGGTAGAGTGCCATGCTTAGACCCTGGGTTCCATTCTCAGTACCTGCCCTCCATGACTGCAATTAAAATAAAAACCAGCAAATTTGCCATAAATAGAAGATACCCATAAACGCATACCACCAGAATAAAAAATGTGCCTGGATCCATTTGAAGTCATTTCAATATCAGTATTTACTCATTTTTTCTTTTCTTTTTTTTCAGTACCAGTGATTGAAACCAGAGCCTTCACACTGAGCTAAATCCCCAGCCTTTTTTATTTTTTGAGACAGAATCTTGCTAAATTGCCCAGGCTAGCTTTGCAATCCTGCCCCAGCCTCCAAGAGTGCTAGGATTACAGCTGTGTGCTGTCACAGCTGGCTTTTCACACACATTTTGAGCACTAAAGCCCTTAGATAAACCAGGCTCCCTCGCCATCTTCCTCTTAGCTTCTCCCCTAGCCACTACATCCGCCCAGCACCTGAGACCCTCAGTGAGCGTCCCCCTCCCTGGTGGAGCTCTCAAGGCCTTCACCGGCCCTTAGGGTATTCAGAGCAGTTTGGTCATTCCTTCTGTGTTCTTGAATGCCTGAGCCCAAATGGCCTTTTGGGGTAGGGGCAGCAGACTTAGGCTTGGGCATGGAAAAAGAATAACCCTTCCTTGACTTGGTGTGGTGGCACATGCCTGTAATCCCAGCACCTGGGACGCTGAAGCAGGAGGACCAAAAGTTCAAGTCCAGCCTGGGCAATTTACTGAGACCCTGTCTCGAGGGGAAAAAAAAGAGGGTAAGTAAGTGTGGGGCAGTGTTGGTAGTATAACTCAGTGTGAAAGCCCTGGGTTCAACCCCCAGTACCGCCAAGAATAATACTTTAGGGCTGGGGATTTAGCTCAGTGGTTTCGCCACCTGCTGTGTAAGCACAAGGACCTGAGTTTGATTCCTGGTACCAAAAAAAAAAGAATAATACTTTTGGGTCAGAATTTAGCTCAGTCGTGCCGCACCTGCCTTGCAAGGGCAAGGTCCTGAGTTCAATCCCTGGTACCAGAATAATAATAATAATAATAATAATAATAATTTGAACAGAGGTTTTCATTCTATAAGTAGCTACTTTGTTTCATCAGAATTTACTTAAAATGGTAAAATATGAAATTGTATGGAATGGGAAAAACTCAGCTATGGACTAAAGGATGCTATTACCAGTTTGAGTACTTCCCTGTGGTCCTTTGCAATATGTGTGTGGTCCCCACCATTGTATGTGTGCTTGGAGCCTGTGACCCCGTGTGTTGTCCCTTGTCTAATGTGAGTTCCTAATACATGAAGGGGGCCAGGGCTGTGAAGCAGACAGGTCAGGAATCATTTAACCCATTTCTCAGATGAGAAAACTGTGGCCTAAGACAGGTAATGTCGCCGGCTAAATCACAAATATTGAGGGCCAGGGATTTAGTTCAGTGGTTCTGCCACCTGCCTCACAAGTGCAAGGACCAGAGTTCGATCCCTGGTACCAAAATCAATCAATCAGTCAATCAATAAATCACAAATATTGAGCCAGTTCGCTCCACTTGCATCTGCTGCTTCTGTTCAGGAGCCTGGAGTCAGGAAGCAGAGGACACGGGCACTTACACATTTACACTTTCACATTTAAGACACTTCGTATTTCAAAACTAATATAATTCATTGTTTTAAAACAAATCAAATAGGATAAAATTAAAATAAAATTTATTTTTAAAAAATCAAAAAGCTCTGGGCCGGGGATTTGCCTCAGTGGTTTTGCCACCTGCTGCATAAGCGCAAGGACCCAAGTCCAATCCCCAGTACTGGAAAAAAAAAAAATTGAAAAGCTCAACAAGTAAGAGTTTCTGGTAATCTCACTCAGAGAAAAACCCACAAATTATGTGTGCTTTGCCAACCTTGACTTTTTCCTCACAAATCCTAACCTATCATTTATCTATTTTCCAAAAATAGAGTTGCTTCATAAACACCATTTGGTGACCTTTCTCCCCCACTAAGCAGTGTATCTTAGATATCTTTTCAAGGACAGAGTTTCTAAAAACATGTTTTCACGAAACAGAAAAGGTTTTGTTTGTTTGTTTGTTTTTTGAGAAAGGGTCTTGCTATGTAGTTTAGGCTAGGCCTTAACTCACTATGGAGCCCAGGCTGGCCTTGAATTTGTGGTGATCCTCCTGCTTCAGCCTTCCAAATGCTAGGATTCTACCATACCCAGCCAGAAAAGATTTTAGATGAGTACTAACAGTGTTTCTGTTGGCTGCAGTAACAGCACCATGACGGAGGAAAGACATTCGTTCATTCCTTACACATAAAGAAATATTTCTTGCCAAGGAAGTATTAGCTCTTGGGTCCTGGGAGCACTTTTGTTCGTTCGTTTTCTTTCTTTCTTTCTTTCTTTCTTTCTTTCTTTCTTTCTTTCTTTCTTTCTTTCTTTCCTTCCTTCCTTCCCTCCCTCCCTTCCCCTTCCTTCCTTTCTTTCTTCCTTTTCTTCCTTTCTTTTTCTTCCTTCCTTTCTTTCTTTCCTTCCTTCCTTCCTTTCCTTCCTTCCTTCCTTCCTCTTTCTTCCTTTCCTCCCTTCCTTTCTTTTTCTTCCTTCCTTCCTTCCTTCCTTCCTTCCTTCCTTCGTTTCTTTCCTTTGTTTCTTTCTTTTTTTTTTTTTTTTTTTGGTACCAGGGAATCAAACTCAGGACCTTGCACTTGCCAGGCAGGTGCAGCGCCCCTGAGCTACATCCCCGTGGAGGCTGGTGCTGGTGGTGGAGACTGCTAGCAAGACTGAGGGATGAGGAGGAAGGCTGTCAGAGTCAGAGCAGGCCTGGAAGGGGCAGGGCCTTGTTTCAGACAGTCCTGCTGGTCCTTTCCCGTCACAATTTTTGTCATTGCTGCTGCTGTTGTGGATCCTAGTCCAGGGTTTCCCCTAGGCCCCACCCTTCTGTAGGCTGCTGTTGGAGCCAGGCTGTGGCCGGGGTCGGAGGTGAGTTTGCCTGTGGGCCAGGGTAGGAGGATGCAGGTTTATGTTTTTCTCCAGTCTTGAGGCCAAGCAGGTTCCAGGCTGGTGTCCAGGGTTTCTCCCCACCCTGCTTCCCAGGAGCCAAGGGGTCTCCCCCAAACACACGGCTGCCCGGTTCCTCCTGTCGCTGCTTGGCCTGCACCTAGGGGCCAAGCGCGGCCCTTTGCTTCCTCCAGAAACTAGGACTTTCCACCGGGGGCTGACCCTGCAGGGGTCCCCACTGGAGGATTCAGGTGGACCCCCGCATCCCTCTGCTGCCCACCACCCCGTCCCCCTGGAGACCTCCCTGCCCCAATCACGTTACCCAAGTGAATTCCCGGATGTGCTAACCCTCCAGCCGGGGGTGGGTGGGTGGTGGTGGTGGGGTATGGGCCTGCTGGGGAACCGCCCCTCCCGTAGATATTGCCCGCGCCCGTGGCAGCAGAGACAGCAGGTGAAATGGACATGGGCACTGGGCACCAGAAGACCTGAGTTCAAATTTTATCTACCCCAGGTCTGGCACCCTAGGAAAAAACCCTGCCCTGAGGCTCCGTTTTGTCCCCAGTAAAATGGAGATTGTGCTCCTCTTAATCTCTGGGCTTGTTTTGAGGGTCAGATGAGATAGTGTGAATATAAGGGATTTTATCAGAGTAGGGAGGCTGTAACACAAGCAAGGGGTTAAAAAAAATTCAAACTGAGGCAGCAGTGGTGGTGCACACCTGTAACCCCAACACTCTGGGAGTCTGAGGTAGGAGGATTGTGAGTTCGAACTCACAACTTAGCAAGATTTTTTTCTTAAAATAAAAAAATGTAAAAAGGGCTATAGCTGTAGCTCAGTGAAAAGGCTCCGGGTTCAATCCCCAGTGCCACCAAAAAAAACCCCCACAACAAACTGTATGAGAGATACATGGCTACGCTGTCCTACCCCAGCTCCCAGGGTCCCCTGCCCCCTCCCCAAATAACTTCTGGTGCACAAGCACGCATGGATGCATATGCTTCCCCACATGTTACTGGGGCATGGAGCTGCCCCTTTCCAACAGCCACCTGGCGTTCTGCACCGAGCAGCCTGTCCCTGCCTGGGCCGCTCCAGTCTCTTGTGCTGAGGTGGATTTCATTGAACATGTGTTACTGTGCACATGCATGTGACTAACTATAAGCTGGAGTCCTAGAGGTGGCATTGCTGGGTCAAAAAAGGTCCATGCAAAAAAAAAAAAAAAAAAGGTCCATGCAGGGGACGGGGATTTAGCTCAGTGGTGCTGCCGCCTGCCTGGCAAGCGCAAGGTCCTGAGTTCGATCCCCTGTACCAAGAAAAGGTCCATGCAGTTTGGACATTGAGCTGTTGCCACCTTGCCTGGGAAAGCAGGTGTGTGGGGTGCCACCCTGACAAGACAGGAGCTGGGCACGGCGACGCACACCCGTGATCCCAGTATTAATTTGCGTGTCTTCGTGAGCCACCCTCCCTGTGCGCCCCCACAGCTGCCTTCTCCCCTTCCGCAGGCTCATCACTCTTCCCAACGGCGTCCTCCAGATCCTAGACATTCAGGACAGTGACGCAGGCTCCTACCGCTGCGTGGCCACCAACTCAGCCCGCCAGCGCTTCAGCCTCGAGGCCCCACTCCGCGTGGCCCCCAGAGGTACGGGGGCCGCAGGGTGAGGGACTTGGGGTTTCAGGAGCAGCTGCCTGGCGACGGGGGGGGGGGGGGGGGGGGCTGGGGCTGGAGAGGTCCAGGCCCTGCCTTCAGATGGGTGCCGAGGCAGTGGTCCTGCTGGACAGGGAAGCCCAGAGGGGGCGGTGCCACCCAGCCAACTGTGGACAGTCCGGGGCTGGAACCAGACCCCTATTCCCAGCAGGACTCCTCCTTCCTGTGAAGTCATTGTGTTCCTTTGGGTGGGATAGGCACAGGTCTGGAGGCGAGGCATCTCCTCCAAGCTCTTTCCCTGCCCCTATTGCTCTCCAGCCCTGAGAGCCCTGAGGCCTTGGGGCGCTGGCAGACTCCCTGTGGCCAACACTCATGTCCTTTCTGTCCTTCTTTGTGACAGGAGTAGGAAGGGCACAGGCATTGGGGTCATGGAGACCTGGTGTGAATCCCCGTCTGCATGACCCTGGGTTTGCTATCGGATGTCTCAGAGCACTCAGAGCGGTCGTGGGCCTGGGAGGACAGTGGGCAGTGCCTGGGGCTGGGCGGGTGCTGTGCATTCTACAAAGCTCACGTCACGCCCCCAGGGCCCCTCGCCCCGCCCCACCCTGCTTCCCCTACGGAGGGCTCACTGTCCCCTGTGCCGAACGAAGGTCTCTGCCTCCACCTTCTGGACAAACCTGATATTCTCATTCTCTGCCCAGGGCCGGTCCCACTGAGAGCCCAGCGGGACATCAGGGCTGGGGAGCTGAGGTGCTGGCAGACACTCAGGCCCACCCTGCCTTTCCCACACCGGAACCTGAGGCTCTTTGGGAAGGGATTTGCCTAAGGTCACACAGCTGCAGTGCTGGAACTAGAAACTATAAGTGTGAGCCCAAGACTGGTCTCCGCCTGTGACCCCATAGTACTGGGCCTTGGTAGGGAAGGCTGGAGAGAGGGTAGATCTGTCCAGCCCTGTCCCTGGGGCTGTGTTGGAGCCAAGCTTCTCTTCTGGTTTAAGAACTTTGAGTTCCCATTGCAGCTCTGCTGCACTTGATGGCTACTTCCCTTGTCTGTCGCATGGACCCATGGCTGCCCCTGCTGCACCAGGTGTCTGAGCGAAGATGTTCACTGCCTGTCTTCTCTCCAGGGTCCCTGGCGGCCACCAGGGGACAGGACGTGGTCATCGTGGCAGCCCCAGAGAACACCACGGTGGTGTCTGGGCAGAGCGTGGTGATGGAATGTGTGGCCTCAGCTGACCCCACCCCTATCGTGTCCTGGGTCCGACAGGGTGAGTAGAGAGGGCGAGCAGGAGGGGAAGAAGGGATGTGGCCTCTTGTGTCCCTGGGTCACCAACCTTCTGGTGTGTTGGGGACTAGTGTGGCAGGCAATGAGGTCGGGCCTGGGGTCTTACTTCTGTCCGTCTGACAGTGTCGCAGAGGCGTGATAGCTGGAAGGTGCCCCTTAGCCGGCCAGTGGACTGCAGCCCAGACCCACTGTGGGTCTGGGTAGTTACAGAGCTGCCACTTGGTCCACCCAGCATGCTTTGGCCTTTGTGTGCCAGGCAGTGCACTGGGCACAGGGAATGAGACAGGGATGAGAGGCACTCACACTGCAGGTGAGGGAGATAAACAAACGCCACACCCAGGAAGAGAGGGAGATGGTGTTGGGCCACGTGACAAGTGCCCATTAGGACGGAGCTCCTGGAGGTGGGGCAGGGCCAGGAGAGCACTGGACTTGACCTCACCCTGTACTGTGGTCTGCACCTGTCTCCTCCCAGAGCCTCCCAGAGCCCTCTGTGGAGAGCGAGGGGCCAAGACTGTCGATCCCAGTGGGCAGATGAGGAATCCAGGGACCAGAGAGCCAACACTCCTGTCTTTTGTAATTGGGTTTTTTTTTTTGGTACCGGGGATCAAACTTGGGTCCTTGTGCTTTTGAGGTGGGCAGTGGAACCACTGAGCTAAAGCCCTGGCCCCAAGCCAACACGTCTTTTTTTTTTTTTTTTTTTTTTTTGGTACTGGGGATCGAACTCAGGTCCTTCCGCTTGCAAGGCAGGTGGCGGAACCACTGAGCTAAATCTCCGGCCCAAAATGTTTACTTACTTTTTGTTTGTTTGTTTGTTTTGTTTTATTGGTACCAGGGATTAAACTCAGGTCCTTGCGCTTGTGCAGCAGGCAGCAAAACCACTGAGCTAAATCCCCAGCCCCAACACTTCCTTCCACTACTCCGTTCCCTATAGTCCTGCAGAAAGAAAGCAGGAGTTACTTTTGTTTCCATTTGTCTGTAAGAAGTGACTTGTCCTGAGATGGCAGAAGTATTAAATCCAACTGTCTTTATCCTCCTTCCCTGATTCATTCTACTACCCTATACTGCCTCTTTTATGTTTATATCTCACATTGAACAGAGTATGTAAGCCTGGCTGTGGTAGTGCATGTCAGGAATCCCAGCACTCTGGGAGGCTGAGGCAGGAGGATCCCAAATTTGAAGCCAGCCTGAGCAAGTTAGCAACTTAGCAAGAACTTGCCTCAAAATTTAAAAAGTAAATAAATAATAAAAAGGACTTGGGATGTAGCTCAGTGCAAAGGCTCTGCGCCAAGTCCATAGTACTGTAAAAAAAAAAAAAAAAAAAGTGTAGGGCCAGGGATTTAGCTCAGTGGCACCAAGCCTGCCTTGGAAGGGCAAGGTCCTGAGTTCGATCCCTAGTACCCTCCCTCAAAAAAGTGTATACTAAATAGTTTAAATAAAAACAATAAATGGAATAGCTACTTACCACTGAGCTGATAGAATAGAACAGTGCCTGTATCTTGCACCGCCTGAACTACACTCCCTCACTGGACTTCAGCCCTTCCCTAGTGAGGAGGATCTCGGGGCCAGTGAGACCCTGGTCCTATGACTGGGTGAAGTTTGTGGTGTCACCCGGAGTCCTATTATCAATATTTCACAAATCCCAGCCATGCATCCGGGTCACCTAGGGAGCTTGTTAAAACTTCAGCCGCCCTCCCTTCACCTCTGTAGAGGCGGGAGGGAGGAACCTCAGGGTTTAGCCTGTGTCCACCCGGGCTCACCGTTCACTGTTCATAGCGAGGCCTCCGGGCTACTTAGAAATGCGGCACCTGGGGGCTTGCTAGGCCTCCACAGCCCGCTAGGGGCGCTGCGACTGATTCTGGGATTCTTGTTCTCGGGGAGGACTCAGACCCCCATGGTTCCGGAACCTCTCTTTCGGCGAATCTGCTCACAACACCTCCAGAGGCTGAGGGGACCAGAAAGGAGCTTTATTCCTGACCCCGGGCCCTGCTCTCTGCCCAGGAATTAACCCCGCCGAATCAAGGAAGGGGCATGGGCTTTTTGTGTTTTGTTTTGTTTTCTGACTGCAAATGCGGTGCATATTCACTGTTTTAGAAAACTAGGAAAAAATAGAAGCAGAAAAATATGCCACCACTCAGAGATAAAAACCGCTAACATATGCGTGTATTTCTACCAGGTTTTTTTTCTATGCAATGCACACTTTCCCCTGAAATCAAGAAAGCGTGATGTATTGAGTTCCAATCTCTATTTTAGTCAGCAGGATAGGATAAAGATTTCCCCAACCTTCACACGTTTTCAAAAATAATTTTAATAACTATATAATCGTCCATTTTTATTTATTTTATGGTACTGAGGATCGAACTCTGGACCTTGCGCTTGCAAAGCAGGCAGCGAAACCACTGAGCTAAATCCCCGGCCCTAATAGTCTATTTTTAGATACAGCTATAGCCAGGGTGTTGCAACATGCCTGTAATCCCAATGCTTGAAAGGCTGAAGCAGGAGGATCACAAGTTCAAAGGCAGCTGAGCAATGTAGGAAGGCCCTGTCTCAAAAACAAAATAAAACAAGGGCCAGGGATTTAGCTCAGTGTTTTCGCCGCCTGCTGCGTAAGCGCAAGGACCCGAGTTCGATCCCTGGTACCAAAAACACCCAAAAAACCAAAACGGGCCAGGGGAGTAGCTCAGTGGTGCCGGGCTTGCCTGGCAAGTTCAAGGTCCTGAGTTCAATCCCCGGTACTGGAAAAAAACTCTGTAAGTCTGATCCCCTCCCTGCAGGAACTCAAGGTCAAGATGGAGCCCCTTTATGACCCATTTTCTGCTTTTTGAAAAGATTCCCAGGGTGTTGGGAGAAAGTTAACATCTGTGTTTGGATGTGCCTTTCTTGAGAGCAGAGCTCAGTAGGAGTGGAACGCGATCACTGACTGGTGTGGCATGTGATACTATGAGCCTGTGCTGCGCCCGGAGTTACTCTTTGTCCCTCGCAGCCGACCTTCCTGCCCGAGACTGTCCCTACTGCACACCGAGGCGGTGGGGCTCAGGGTCTCCGGGTCTCTGGGTCTCCGGCTGGCTAGGAGGGGAACTGCGATTCCGGCTCGGGGGCACCGGGCCTGAGGTCGCAGAGGCCCTGGGGGGCAGTGCCCAGCGCCCCGCCCCAGCTCGCGTCCTCTCCTGCCCCAGATGGGAACCCGATCTCCACGGACGTCATCGTCCTGGGCCGTACCAACCTGCTCATCGCCAGCGCGCAGCCCCGCCACTCGGGCGTCTACGTGTGCCGCGCCAACAAGCCCCGCACGCGCGACTTCGCCACGGCCGCCGCCGAGCTCCGCGTGCTGGGTGAGGCGGGGAGGAGCGCGCAGGGGTGCGGGAGGCCGGGGTGGAGTGACCGAGACTGGGAAGCCAGGGGCGGGTGGGGGACAGATTGGAGGGTGGAGAACGGCAGGAGGACGAGGTCGCGGGAGGAGGCCTCAGCAGGCGGTGGAAGGATGGACTGGGTAACTGGGGCACGACTGGGTGACCGAGGTGTGGGGAAGGGCGAGACCTAGGTGATGGGGCGGGGAGGGGCCGGGTTTATTGGCAGAGAGAGCAGAGTGGTCTGAAAGTGTGGGCCAGGCACAGGCCTCTAATCCCAGCACTCTGGGAGGCTAAATTGAAGGGCCGGGGATTTAGCTCAGTGACACCGTGCCTGCCTCGCAAGCCCAAGGTTCTGAGTTCAATCTCCGGTACAAAAGAGTTGAGGTCAAACCTGGGCAATTTAGGGAGACCCTAATCTCAACATTTTTTTAAAAAATTGTTTTTTTAAGGATTGGGGCTATAGCTCAGTGCGAAGGCACCCAGTGTATATCTGGGGCCGGTCTTGCTCAGGGCTGAGATAGCCAGGGAGAGGGCACTAGATGTGGAAGACACCAGAGCCAGGGGAGAAGCAAGTGGGTTATGAAGGAGTGGGGTTAGAGCAGCGGTGGGGGGAGTGGAGATCGCTGGAGAGGAGGACGGTCAGGGAAGGGCTGGAGTCCCCGGGCAGACGGTGGAGGGGGCCGAGTCAGGAGAGACCAAGGTGGTCAGAAGGGGCGAAGGGGGTTGTAGAGCCCTGGTGGCCGAGCCCGTGGTCAGCGTCGCCTCCCCCAACCTCCGCAGCGGCCCCCGCCATCGTGCAGGCGCCCGAGGCGCTGTCGCGGACACGGGCGAGCACCGCGCGCTTCGTGTGCCGCGCGTCGGGGGAGCCGCGGCCTGCGCTGCGCTGGCTGCACAACGGGGCGCCGCTGCGGCCCCAGGGGCGCATCAAGGTGCAGGGCGGCGGCGGCAGCTTGGTCATCACGCAGATCGGCCTGCAGGACGCCGGCTACTACCAGTGCGTGGCGGAGAACAGCGCGGGGACGGCGTGCGCCGCCGCGGCCCTGGCCGTCGTGGTGCGCGAGGGGCTGCCTAGCGCCCCCACGCGGGTCACCGCCACGCCGCTGAGCAGCTCCGCCGTGCTGGTGGCCTGGGAGCGGCCCGAGCTGCACAGTGAGCAGATCATCGGCTTCTCGCTGCACTACCAGAAGGCTCGGGGTAGGGGACCCTCGAAGCCCCCTCTACAGGCGGCGCGGGGTCGGGGTGCAGGTCGGGTGACTGAGGGGCCCCTGGTGCGTATCTCTGGGGTAGGATGGGATGGGTGGGAGCCACGGGGGAGACCGGCCTCCCTGTTAGGCAATTCTGGGCACCCTGCAGAGAGGCACTGGGAAAGCTCTTGCTGACTGTGTCCCTTGCCTGTCCCCTCTTGGAGCCATCTACCCCCCAGGGCGCTGTGTCAGACGCCAGACCCCACTTCTGGCTACTGCAGGGATTGATAACAGGAAGTGTGGCCTGTGCAACTCCAAATATCTGGGGAGTTTAGATACAAATAGATGATTACAGAGATTGGGCCAGAATAAGTGACCCCTAGATAGGCACCAGCTGCCCAGTGCCTGGGCTGGTTCTGTGACAGTCCTTTGGCCCTGTCACCATCCCAGGCACAGACAACGTGGAATACCAGTTCGCAGTGAACAATGACACCACAGAGCTACAGGTGCGGGACCTGGAGCCCAACACGGACTATGAGTTCTATGTGGTGGCCTACTCGCAGCTCGGGGCCAGCCGCACATCCACCCCGGCCCTGGTGCACACTCCGGATGACGGTAGGCCTGGCAGCCGGCAGCACACAGCCTGGGCCCAGAGAACTCCTGCTTCTCCTTACTGCAGTCCCTAAGGCACCGTCACCTGCCTCTTGTTAGACTCTTGTGCTATGAAGGAGAGGGCAGGGGGTCGGCCCTCTCCCCAGTTTACAGTTGGGGAAACTGACTTGCCCAAAGTCACAGACGGGACTTGAGCCCAGATTTTGTGACTCTTTTTACCACACAGCCCTTCTTCCTGATGCCCATATGCCATCCAGCTGGGGTAGCAGCCAGTGGCTGTGGCAGATTGTGCCCCACAGCACCCTCTAGAGTCAGGGCGGAATGACCCCCTCATCCCGCAGCTCGGGGCTCCCCTGAGAGGCTCCCTTTCCTCCCTCAGATCCTGGTCCTGGGCCTTCTCCTGACATGCCAAACGACCTGGGCAAGTCTCTGCCCACTCCTGAGCGTTGCCTCCCACGTTGGTGGAGCACTGCTCACGCCCTGTTCTTCTGTCTCAGTCCCCAGTGCAGCACCCCAGCTCGCCCTGTCCAGCCCCAACCCCTCGGACATCAGGGTGGCGTGGCTGCCCCTGCCCCCTAGCCTGAGCAATGGGCAGGTGGTGAAGTACAGGATAGAGTACGGTTTGGGAAAGGAAGGTGAGTGGGCCTGGGGGTGGGGAGTGGGCTGGTATTGCAGGACGAATGGGGACGGGGTGCAGAGTGGGGTGTGGTGGGGTTGCAGGAATGAAGAGGGAAGACAGAAGTCCCAGCTCCAGGCAGAGGAGGCCCGGGGAGTCCCACCCCCTCTGGAGCTGCAGCCTGAAATCTAGTGGAATGCTGCCTCAGTTTCCTTACCTGTGGAGTGAGGCAAGGGGCCTGGGCAATCCTTGGAGCTTGGAGTCTGCCCAGGCCCCATAGCATGGAGGAGCCGGGATCTGAAGCAGAAGCATCAGCATGGGGGGTGTTGAGATCACATCCCGGGGTGGGAGGACACCCAGCTCTGTCTTCTTCTGTCCCATCAGATCAGGTTTTCTCCATCGAGGTGCCAGGAAATGAGACACAGCTGACAGTGCACTCACTGCTGCCAAACAAGGCCTACAGAGTGCGGATCTCAGCGGGCACGGCGGCTGGCTATGGGGCGCCTTCCCCGTGGATGCAGCACAGGACACCTGGGGCCCACAACCAGAGCCATGGTACAGGTCGGAGGGGACAGGGCGGGACAGTGTGAGTGGCTGCGTGGGGTACGCATGCCCTCAGAGGCAGGGCCCCAGAGCCCCTCCATCTGAGACCCTCTGTGCCTCCCTTGATGGGGAAGGAAGTCCAGGTGTAGGGGAGGGTTGAAGAGCTGGGCTCAGGTGTCCCTTCTGTCCACGCTGTGACCTTGGCCAAGCCATTCTCAACTCTGAGGCTTCACTGACTGACCCGGTGCCATATGAATTTATAACGTGTTGCAAAGGGAGTGCTTAGTACATGCTAAGAACTCATCAGCCGGGTGTGGTGGCGCACACCCTGTGATCCCAGCACTTGGGAGGCTGAGGGAGCAGGATCGCTGCAAATTCGAGGCCAGCCTGAACTACATGGTGAGGCCCTGTCTCAAAACAAAACAAAACACTAACCCTCATTAAATAGTAGCTGCTTCAATGATTATTATTATTATTTTTTTGAAGAGCCCCCAAAGCACAGCTTTAATGCAGACAAAACCCAAGACGGTATCTGTGGGCATTGAGCCAATTACTTAACTTCTCTAGCCTGAGTTTTCCTATCTGTAAAATGAGTTAATAATATGTTGTATGAGAATAAAGGTAAACACTTGGAGCACCTCACACAGTGAATAAGCCCCCTGCACTTGGCCTCCAGCTGGGGCTCCCCACTTCGATGGCTCCAGCCCTGCTCGCTGGCCTCTGCAGGCCCTGGTCAGCATTTGCTCCCCTGGGAGGCTTCCCGAGGTCTGCTCCGTGCCAGGCACGCTGTGAACCTGCCTGGAGACGACCCGCCTGCCCCTCTGCACATGCGCGGGAGACACACCTGCATTACCAGACTCTGCATTCCCAGCGTGTTGGGCTGGAGCCCAGGCCTGGCCCTGAGTGCGGAGGGCATAGAGAGGCACTGGCCCAGCTCTTGCTGACCGTGTCCCCTGCCTGTCCCCTCCCACCTCTGGGTTCTTTCCTTCCCTTCCCACCCTCCTCCTCCTCCCCCCTTTCCCTCCTCCGCCCCAGTTCCTTTTGCCCCCGCAGAGTTGAAGGTGCGTGCGCGGATGGAGTCCCTGATCGTGTCGTGGCAGCCGCCCCCTCACCCAGCCCAGATCTCCGGCTACAAACTGTACTGGCGGGAGGTGGGGGCCGAGGAGGAGACTGAGGACGAGCGCCCCCTGGGGGGCCGTGGAGACCAGGCTTGGGATGTGGGGCCCGTCCGGCTGAAGAAGAAAGTGAAGCAGTACGAATTGACCCAGCTAGGTGAGGACCCGGGGCGCAGGAGAAGGGGTGGAACATGCTCCAGGAGGCCCCTGTAGCAGTGAGCGACCCTGTGACCTTCCCCAGTCCCGGGCCGGCTGTATGAGGTGAAGCTCGTGGCGTTCAACAAACAAGAGGACGGGTACGCGGCGGTGTGGAAGGGCAAGACCGAGAAGGCGCCCACGCCAGGTGAGGTGCTGAGGACGGAGGGGCGGGGCCTGGGGAGCGTGGGCGCCTCAGTTTCCCCGAGCCCGTGCCCCAGATGGCTCTTCCAGCCAGACCAGAAGCCCCGCTGTGAGCGCTGTCTTTTAGGTCGGCTGCTTAATTTCTCTCGTTTGCGAGCAGAGCTACTTTGGAAAGTTTGGACAGAGACCCCGTTGGTCGAGCAGTGATTCCCGACCCCAAGTCTGACCTTAAAAGTTTTTCAAGCACAGCTGTCTGCATCACACCGTCCTTCAGATTATGCCTTAACTCCAGGCGGGGAGGGCACCCCCATGTGGTAAACATTGGTCACCCATCGAGACACCGCCTCACCCCACTTCCCAGGCGGATTTTTCAACCACGTGGTTTAGCAGCCAAAGCGCTCAACTGGACGCCAAGAGACCTGGGTTTTAATTCCAGTTTGTTCATTTATTCATTCAGCAAATATTTTACTGAGTATCTACTCCGTGCCAGCTCTGTTCTGGGAATTTAGTGAGGAAACAGCACAAATGAGGTGCCTGCTTGCATGGAGTTTATTATTTTATGTTTCTATAATAAACACTTATCAAATAGTACATATTGAATGTCAGACGCTTTCCTATCTGCTTTACAAATATTAACGAATGTAATCCTCATAACAGCCCCATGAAGTAGGTACTGTCATCAGTCACATCCACTAACAGAGTAAGGAATGGAGGCACAGAGAGGTTAAGAAAACTGTCTGGGGGCCCGGGATTTAGCTCAGTGGTTTCGCCGCCTGCTGCGCAAGCGCAAGGACCCAAGTTTGATCCCCGGTACCAAAAAAAAAAAGAAAAGAAAACTGTCCAGGGTCACACAGCAATAAGTGGCACAGCTGGAATTTGAACTTAGGCAGCCTGGCTCCAGTATGTGCTCTTAATTTCCACAAGGGGCTACCCCCTCCACTGTGGTCCTCAGTTTGGTTATCTGTGAGGTGGGAATAATGTCACCTGACTCAGGGCCAAAGGAAGGCCAAGGTGGATGAGGTTGAGCTCGCCTGCAAGCCCAGTGCCTAGGAGGCAGAGGCAGGAGGATCGAAAGTTCCACCCTAGCCTGGGTAACTTAGTGACTTAGCGAGAACCTGTCTTAAAATAAAAAATAAAAGGAGGCTGGAGATGTAGCTCATGCAAAGGCCCTGGGTTCATTTCCTAGTACCAACAAAACAAAACAAAACGAGAGAGCCCAAGGAAGAGCCTTGGGGACAGAGAAGACTGCACATACTTAGGGAGCCATGTTCCCCCACCCCGTACCCGCCATTCCTTGCAGATTTACCCATCCAGAGGGGGCCACCCCTGCCCCCTGCCCACGTCCACGCGGAATCCAACAGCTCCACATCTATCTGGCTGCGGTGGAAGAAGCCGGACTTCACCACAGTCAAGATTGTCAACTACACCGTGCGCTTCAGTCCCTGGGGTCTCAGGAACGCCTCCCTCGTCACCTATTACACCAGGTGGGAGGGGGCAGCGGGAAGTGACCGGGGAGGGACAGGGGCTCGCCTGAGCGTCTGCACGGGTCCACCGGTCCCCGGGTCCCCCGGTGAGAAAGAGCCGCCTGGTCCCACTCCCTCGCGACAGCGCGGCTCGTTCCCAACCCCAGGAGCCTGAGCGGCTTCTGGTCCCCCAGTGAGAGCCCTGTCCCTGCCTCAGACCTCACCAACAGGGGGCGCCGCCGGCTCGCTGTCTGGCGGCAGAGCGACCCGTGGGTGGCGCCAGCTCGGGTTCCTGGGGAGGCCCCCGGTGCGGCTCGCCCGTCCGAGGAGGGCTTGGTCCGAGGTCCCTGGCCATTTCCCGCCGCAGCTCGGGAGAGGACATCCTCATCGGTGGGCTGAAGCCATTCACCAAGTACGAGTTCGCGGTACAGTCCCACGGCGTGGACGTGGACGGGCCCTTCGGCTCGGTGGTGGAGCGCTCCACCCTGCCGGACCGTGAGTGCCAGCCACCCCACGTGGCTGCTCCTTCCGGCCCGCCCAGCCCTCTCCAAAGGGTGTGGCGGAGCTGAGCGGACTAGCGATCTGGGAGGGAGGGAGGGCTGGGGGGAGCTGTGCCCGTCAAACCTGCGTTGGCAGAGCCAGACCTCCTGAGTGCTGTGAGGCAGAGCGGCCAGGCCTCCCTCCCCTGACTTCCCGCTGCGCCAGAGCAGGGCTCTCGGGGACCCCGGCTCTCCCACCCTCCCCCGCACGCAGGGCCTTCGACGCCTCCATCAGACCTGCGCCTGAGCCCCCTGACGCCGTCCACCGTGCGGCTGCACTGGTGTCCGCCCACGGAGCCCAATGGCGAGATCGTGGAGTACCTGATCCTGTACAGCAGCAACCACACCCAGCCGGAGCACCAGTGGACGCTGCTCACCACGGAGGGTGAGGCCCCGCCCACCGGCCCCTCCCGCTGCAGTGCGAGGGCACGGAGCTGTGTCCTGGGGCCTTTGGGAGGAGCCGCCCTCTCAGCCCCACTTCCCCCTCCCTGCCCTGCTCTCCGCGCCCTGCCCGCAGGGAACATCTTCAGCGCCGAGGTGCACGGCCTGGAGAGCCACACCAGGTACTTCTTCAAGATGGGGGCTCGCACGGAGGTGGGGCCCGGGCCCTTCTCCCGCCTGCAGGATGTGATCACGCTGCAGGAGAAGCTGTCAGGTACGCGGGGACGGGTGGGGGCCACCACTGGGCCTCTGGGCACGCTGCCCCTTTATCGTTTTGGACAGCCGCCCTGATTGGTAGGGACAAGACAGATCTGAAGGGAAGTGCCAGTTTCTCTGGAAGCACTGGCATGAAGAAACAAGCTTTGTAGGGAGAAGTGGATGGCAGGACTGGGTATGTCACTTGTGTGGCTCAGTACAAAATGAGAATGCAAGCCAGGTGTGGTGGCGCACATGCCTATAATCCTGGCAACTTGGGAGGCTGAGACAGGAGGATCTCAAGTTCAAGGCCAGCCTGGGCAATTTAGTGAGACACCTTCTCAAAATATAAAAGCTGGGGATGTAGCCCTCTGGGTTCAATCCTTAGAACAGGAAAAAAAGTGATTCTCCAAAGGGTGAAGCTGAGCCAGTGGTCTCCTGCAGAGGCCATAAGTCATCTTCATCTATGAGCCCTGGGCCTTCTGCTGTCCTTGCTGAGCTGTCCCCTCTTCTCACCAGACCCCTTGGACGTGCACTCGGTCACGGGCATCATCGTGGGCGTGTGCCTGGGCCTCCTCTGCCTGCTGGCCTGCATGTGTGCTGGCCTTCGCCGCAGCCCCCCCAGGTGAGCCGATTTGCAGGAAGGGCCCATGGATGACCTGCCGTGAAAGTCGGGACTCTGGGGGCTAGGGTGTAGCACAGGGGTAGAGGCCTTGCCTAGCATGTGTGAGCCCTGGGCTTGATCCCCAGCGCCGAAGCAAACTACTGAATTAAATAGGACGCGGGGACCAAGGGTGATGTTCTCTTGAGGACAGGGATGGTTTAGGGGAGCCCCTATTGTCCCTCCTGAGCAAGGGCAGGCAGAGGTGCCGTGCTCCTCTTTCCTCTGAAGCTGGCAGCCTCTTGGAAGGAGAGGCCCTGAATCTCCCTGAGTCTGGAGCCAAGGAGGGAAGGACCCCATTTGCCGGTCTGGCTGCTTTGGCAATAGTTGCCTCTCCTTGCACAGACTGGGAAACCAAGTCCTGGAGATGGGCCGGAAGTTTCCCGGAGGCACTGCTGGACTGGACCCCATTCCTGCCCCACTCTCCACTCTGACCCCTGCACCTGTTTGCTGTCTTCCCTCCCAGGGAGGCCCTCCCAGGCCTGTCCTCAGCCACCACTGGGAACCCGGCGCTGTACTCCAGAGCTCAGCTTGGCCCCTCCAGTCTCCCTGCAGGCCACGAACTGGAGTCTCTCGTTCATCCCCGTCCCCAGGACTGGTCCCCACCGCCCTCAGACCTGGAGGACAAGACTGAAGTACATAGTCTTATGGGTGGTGGTGCTTCAGACTGCCGGGGTCACTCCAAGAGAAAGGTGAGACCAGATGCTGGGTAGATCAGTTCCATGGCTCGGCTCATTCCCAAATCGACCACCAGGGGGCGCCATACCACAATGTGTGAGCATCGAGCATACACGGACCCCTTCCTCCTCCATGAAGGGCTTCAGGCCCGGGAATCAGGGAGGCCTCCCTCCCTGCAGAAGAGCTCAGTTTGGCTCTCACTGGCTGCCTGCAGGTGACTCAAACTGGCCACATCACCCAAATCTGCTCACCCCCAGAGCTGAGGTCCCTGTCTAGTGTGGGGAGAAGAGGATGGCACCTTGGCTGTGGCCAAGTAGAACTGGGATAGAGATAAGGTGAGGGCCCTGCAAAGGCAGGTCCCCTCCTGCCCTGCTGACGGGTCAGCCCTCCCCTCCTGCCTCCCTGCCCCTGAGTGAGGAAAAGCCCACAGGGCTGAGGAGCCGGGGCCTGCAAAGAGCATCTGCTCTTAGGCTTGTGCGCAAGATCGCAGGGTGTTTCCCCTCAGGAAGGCAACTGTGGCCATGCACCTCAGTGTCCCCTTCTTTCTCCTGTACAGATCTCCTGGGCTCAGCCAGGGGTGCCGAGCTGGGCAGGGTCCTGGGCAGGCTGTGAGCTGCCCCAGGCCGGCCCCAGACCCGCTCTGACCCGCGCCCTGCTGCCCCCTGCCGGCACTGGGCAGACACTGCTGCTGCAGGCCCTGGTATATGACGCCATCAAGGTCAGCCCGCTGGGAAGAAGGGTGGTCCTAGTGAGGTTCTCGAGCCTTTGGGGTGGTATCTTTCCTGGGGATAGAAGTCCAGCCAGGACACCCCTGGGCCTGCAAGGTTCAGTGGGTGCCAGGCAGGCCCATTTGGAGGGACGTGTGTTTCACTAGGGTTGGGGACGGGTCCTCCTCCACCCAGACCTAAGTGGGTGAGACAGGCCTGATCCATTCCACCTGTCTTCCTCCTCACAGAGCCCCTGATGGAGGTTAGTGCTCCCAGGACTCCTGGACAGGGCGAGCAGGTCTCCTCCATTTCCCTCTGCCCTCGCCTGGGGCTGAGCTTCCTGTCAGCTGGGCCAGTTCCTGCGTCCCTGTCTCCCCCTTGCATGCAAGACACACTCTGACCGAAGGTCCCTCTCTCCTCCCCACAATGTTGGCCATTTTTTCCGACAATAATCCTCGGTCTCTTGTTCCCCTCTAACCAGGGCAATGGGAGGAAGAAGCCACCTCCAGCCTGCAGGAACCAGGTGGAGGCCGAGGTCATTGTCCACTCTGACTTCAGTGCGTGCAGAGGGAGCCCCAACCTCCATCTCCGAGACCCGGAGCCTGAGGACCCCCTGCCTGTGGAGGCTCCTGGTCTCCCCTCTGGCACTGTGGATCTTGGGCCTGGGACAGACTGGCTGGACCAGGAGCTGGGGGGGTGTGAGCAGGTGGCCACCAGGCCAGACCGACTCACCTGCCTGCCTGAGGCAGCCAGTGCCTCCTGCGCCTACCCGGACCTCCAACCCGGCCAGGCTCTGCAGGAGGCCCCTGGTGACAGCTGCCAACCCACAGCCACCTACACTCTAGGAGCCAGCCCAGGCCTGCCCAGAGCCCCCGTCTCCTCCTCTGCTTAGCTCCCCTAAGGGGAAGGTGTAGTTTGAGGGAGGCTGATAGGGCTCATGGGATGTGGTGTCCAGGGCCATGAACACAGGTGTCCCTGCAGCCCTCATCACGCCCTTTGGAGCCTCCCTGGATGGAGGCCCCTCTGGCTGAGGAGAAGAAAAAGAGTGGGCTTGCTTGTTCCTCCTATGCTCTTTGCAACACATATGTGATACATGAGAGACATGTGAGACACTGCTACATGTGATATGCATGAGTGTGAAGCCACATGTGTGTGTGGTGTACTGTTCAGTGAGCTGGGCAGCCTCAGCCCGGGTGGTGGTCAGGCCCAGTGACCCTCTGGGTCAGGACAGTGCCTCAGGGTGGTCCATCCCTGCAATCTGGGCCCCCGAAGCCCGGTCACCCAGCCTTTTATTACGCACTCTGAGAGTGTCTCCAGTGCCTGTCTGACAAAGACAGCCCCGGCCCACTTCCTGTGCGCGTGGGCTCTGCAGGCCTAACATTTCAGCCGCATCGCCTTCATCTCCCACATGCCCATGGCCCAGATTGAGAGAGTGACCCTGGCTGCCCTCGGAGCAGCCCTGTGTCAGACTGTGTAATTTGGGGAGTGCCTGGCTTTGGAAATCTTTGCCTCATCTTCCCCTCCTTCCTTTCTCCTCGCTGTCTCCAGGCCACCTTGCCGTCCCCATTCTGGTTCCCATCTCTGCTCCCTGGTATCTCTCCTTTCCTGTCTCCTGTTTCTCTCTTTCTGTCTTCTGTCTCTCCTGCCTCTCCAGACTGCGACATGTGATTTCTCCTGCCTGGGTTCAACCTCTGCATCTTTCCCTAACAACATGACTACCTCATGTCTACTTCCAGGCCATAGTGCGACACCTGTGTCCCCTCCCCCGGGCCCCCTGCCAGCCCCTGTCCTCTGGCCACCACCCCCAGCCCTCCCTTGCCTCTTTCCCCTGGGGATCAGGATGGGAAGGTTCTCCTTGGAGGGGATGAATCCGGGTCACACAGGAAGTTTTGAGACCGGAAGTTTCCATGCCTTCCGTGCAGGGAGACAGGCTTGCTGGACTGGGGTGGTTCTGACCTTTCAGGAGTTCTTGCCCTGCGCTCCTTGAACCTGACTGGGATGCTGAAGAGAGGTCGCTCTTCAGAAAAAGGGTGACTGGCTCCTTTTGTTTTGTTCTTTTCTTTAAATTGAATCCTGAAATCACTTTCTGCTGATCTGCCACACAGGGACAAGCTTGCCTCCTGTTTCCTGTGTAGTGAAAATGATGTCATTTACTCGATCCCTCACTCGATCCTAGCCTTCTCAACAGCATAGACTGTGGGGTCTTTGCTCCCTAACTGATCGGCACCTCAAGAGTTAACTCTGGCTACTGAGCCAAATTAGAAATAACCAGTGTATCTTTCCTTAGTTTTTTTTTTTTTTTTAAAGTGGTGAAATGTCTCTCCGCAGAGTCGCAGATCCTGAAAGTATCTGTGTTTATTACGATCGGGTGTCACTCACGTTTGACATCCTCACCTACATTTCCTCGCCCCCCGCCTCCTCCAGTCAGCCTATGATCACACTAAAGATTATTAATGTCGCTTTTGTATCTCGTTAAAGACAGAATTGTCACTTGTACTGTTTCTGTGGCGCTCAGCTTGGCTGTGGCCAACACCACAATATGTTTCATCATCACTCTGAAGGTCAAAAGCCTCATTTTATTTTGCTGGTTTGATTTTTTTTTTTTTTAAGCAAAAAAAACTGCCTTGAATTAAATGGCTGTTTTAACAGTAGGCTCTTAGCATTACACCACATCGTCATTTTTCATGTTCTTGTTTAACAGGCACTGAGGTTCTGGTTTAAATTAAATAGCTGCAAATGAGACAATTTATAACCCATTAGGTTGGGTGGAAAATTGTTTCTCAAAAGCAAATAAGTAATAAATCTGGTATCTGCCTATAACTCACAGTTGATAAGAAAGTGGCCATTACTCACTAGCATTATATATGATTTGGGCTCTGGGTAATTTGGAAGTGTTAGGCTGGTGTCTTTGTAGCAGTATTTTTATTAGAAAAGAGTCTATTGGCCTTTTACAGGGTATTAATCCCTGTGTCACCTACCATTGATGCCTTAAGTTTTTTGAGTCTCATTTAAATATCTTCCTTTTCTTGATGCATGACAAGTAATCGGTACCTGCTCATTTATTTGTCTGTATTTAGTTTATGCTGTATTATTTAATTATTTTCCCAGCATTTTTTCCCTTACAGATATGATATTCTTTAGTGTTCAGCAAAGGCATTGATCATGTATCTATCCTTATAATGAATTAATAAACTATTTTCCAGACTTACGTGATGCTTGATGGAACCAGTGACTAAAATTTCCTGAGTTTTTCTGTCCTAGGAAGTTTATTTCCCACCAGGATAGGAAACGGTGGGTTTTGAAAGTAGAATGCAGATGGTCGGAAGAAAGAACTGAACCATGCTCCTTCCTCAACAGGCATTTAGGAAATGACCTCAGCTTAGGGGAAAGGATGGGGTGTGGCACCATGGTAGAGCCCCTCACCTAACATGCCCGATGCCTGAGGCTCAACCCTCCCTGCGCTGCAAAAAACAACAAAAAACAGGGAAGATGCACTCTTTGACTCTTAGGGGATCTCCTTCTCTAGGCATACCCTTTTCCACACTTTTTTGTGTACAAGAAGAGTTGCAGTTTCCATGACTGTTCTATATAAATCTGGTCACCTTGTGAATGCTGCACACTCACACAGGCACCGTGGCTACAAGCTCAGATTCTCGTGCACACTCGCCTTCACAAATACCTGGCCATCGATGCACTCCACTGTGCACACCTTTCACGTGCAGGACTCCACACTCACACCCCACATATCTCTGGCTTGTGGTTGACAGCTGCTCTCAGCTAAGATCTTTGCAGAGCCCAGAACAGGCCTCTCTACTGAAAGGAACCCAGAGCCAGAGGCTGCCCTGCCCAGGACCACCCCCAAAGTGGCCAGTGGGCCAGACCCAGAGTTAATTGACAGATCATACAGAGAGATACTGCCCATTTTACACGCAGCAGAATAGCCATTATTTGCATACCTCTCTCAGACTGAGGGCTGTGATGAAGATGAATTAAACACTTGTCAAGATGAATTTAAAATGACAGCAATTGAGGACAACAATTTGACCTCTCCAGAGTCCAGGACATGCCAAGAAAAGGCTGTTGAGGATTGAGGGCCTTCAGGAGGTAGTTCCAGAGACTTCAGGCCTGGGAAGCCCCTCTTTTCCTACCTTTCCTAGGGCCAGTAGATGCCTCACTCCTGCCCTTCCTCAAATTTCAGCCTGAGGCACACTGGGGCCCCTGACATTGAATTTCTCCATGGCCTCCTGGTCTTCTGGCCTCAAGCCCTGTCTCCCAGGTGCATCTTCCAGCTGCTGCAGCAGAGTGAGGGGTCCCCGGGCTGGACAGAGCCTACCACTAGGTCAGTGGGCTTGGCTATCTACAGTCTGAGCTCCAGAGGTCTGCACTTTCCTCGTCTGCACCAAAGTTAGTTTTATATGTGGTCCCAAGATTCCCCAGTTAGATCAAAAGAGAGACCTAGTCACACCGTGTCATCCCAGCCCAATGCCCAAGGAGCAAACAGCTGACCCAGGTGGACACCACCATCTCTACGCCTCCAGCTCCCAGAACGTAGTAGGAGCCGCTCAATGATTTCGGTAGAGTTCATCATGCACCACTCAACTGAGGATCGTTTAGTGCAGTAGTGAGCGGCCAAGATTTGAGACTGTGCGTGTGTGTTTCCTGAGACTTGCTTACCTTCTGTAGCACTCTCACACAGGACCTGTGTCGGCTAGAGAGTTCTCCGACACGAGATATCGAGGGTTCTTTGTGGTACAGACACGTTATTGGCGATTTTAACTTAAACGTGCTTTCCCAGTTAGCAGGTTTTTTGCTGTTTTCTTGGTCTCCGGGACTGCGCGGGACAAATACTGTCCCGCACAAGGAGGCCACCAGGGTTGGCCTGGCTAGACAGCAAGGCTGAACCGGGACGGAGCAGGGAGGGACCTCGGTTACTTTAGCGATCTCATTGTCCTGGGGGTCTGCTCCTCCCAGGCAACCCACCCACGTGCCACAACTCCCAAGTCCAGAGCGGCCAGTCTTGAAGCTAAACGACCTATCCTCAGACTACCAGGACCAGGAATCCCCGGAATACAGAACCTATGACAACTTTGAGCGGCTTTTAGGGGAATTATCTCTAAAATACAGACTCAGAGACTGTGGAAAGGGGCGCAGCAGAAATAGCGGAGCAGTGCAAATCCCGCAGCTTTGCGTGTCTGTCCGCAGCCCGGACCCGCTCGCTCCACAGTCCGCTGGGTCTCTGCTTCCCAGGTTTCTGAGATCCGGAACCGGCCGGCCGCGAGGGGACCCCCGGCTGCAGCCCCGGACGGCGCCGGGCGCCCCAGCCCCAGTTCAAAGCGCAGGGGGCGCGTCCGCCGCGCAGCCGGGAATGTCCGGCCGCTTAAAGCGCTCGCCGGCTCTTTTGTTCCCCAGACCCGGCCTCCGGGGAGAGGGGGCTGGGGGAGGGGACAGGCGGGCGGGGTGGGGGGGCCGCGGCCGAGCGGGAGGGCGGGGCGCGCGGGCGGGGCGAGTGCGGAGCCCGCTCCCCGGGCGAGGCTGACAGATCGCCGGCTGGGCTGGTGGGTGCAAGATGGCGCGAGCCGCGCTCCCCCTGAGCCCCCCGCGCCCCTAGGCGGCATGCGGCCCCAGCCCCCCGCCGCCCGGGCTCGGCCCCGGCCCGAGCCCCGGCCCTGGCCCCGGCGCCGGCCCCGCGGGACGCTGTGAGCCGCGAGAGGCCCGGGAGCCACGCGCCGAGCCCCGCGCCCCGAGAGCCCCCATGGCTGCGCCGCGCCCCGTGCCCCCGCCGCGCTCGCCCCGGCTCCTGCTGCCGCTGCTGCTGCTGCCCGCGCTGCTGCTGCCCGCGCCGGGCGAGGGTGAGCGAGGGCCGCGCTGGTGGGGACCGGGCCGGGCGGGGTGTGTGTGTGTATGTGTGTGTGTGTGTGTGTGTGTGCTGGGACCGAGCCCCGCGGCCAGGAACCTGGGCTCGGTCCTCCGGGCTCGGGAACTCGGGGCGGGACCTGGATCCCGGACGTGCGCGCGAGGGGCTCGGGGAGGCTGGCGCTGCAGACAGACGAAAACGAGCCCGGTCACTGCATGCCCGAGTCCCACCCGAGGGGCGCGAGCTGGGGCGCGCGGAGCCCCCCGAGTAGCCCGAGGCAGGAAACGGTGATCCGCGTCTGAGCCGGGACCCAGGTGTCTACGCGGGGCGCATCCCGGATTTGGAGCCGAGACCGGACCCGGGCGCGCGCGAGGAGACAGAGGAGAGGGGAGGAGAGGAGAGGAAAGGAGGGCTAGGAGAGTTCCCGCCCGGTGCCCTCGTGCCCACCACCCTCGCCCCTCGGTGGCCGTAATCGGCCCATCTCACGAAGAGGGGTACCCTAGAGTCCCCTCCCCTCGCACCCCAGGTTCTCAGCAGACGTATTTGGGCTCCTCGCTCTCTCCTCTCCCTTCCCAAGAAGCAGATCACCGCGTCCGCTTCAGAGAGAAACTTTGTCCCGTGATGGCTATTCCGGGGTCAGAAGTGAGGCAGCCGAATCTCAGGGCAGGGATCGGGTGGTGGAGATTTGAAGGAGAGGGGTCCTCAGATGTCCGAAAACGTAATGACCCCTGGGGTGGGGGCGATGCCCGGCATCCCGCGCCCCTCCCCCTCCCCGGCAGGCAGGGGCCAATTCCGAGATCGTTGGCTCCCTGGAAATGTGAGGCGGGCTCTGTGGCTGCCTTTTCAGACTGGGTTGGTGGTGGTGGTGGTGGTGGGGTGTCGTTCCTCCTGGAGTGAAGTTGTAGCTGGGCTGGTAAGTTGCTTGCTGTCCGCGACTTGGTGTCCTGCCTGGGATCTGAGTGCTGTCTTCTGCCTCCTTGGCTTCTCTGGATCCCTGGATTGGCCTGGTCCCTCCTCTCTGCTTCCCTCTCCTGCTCTTCCAGCTTATTTCTCCTCTGCAAGAGCACTGAGGTTGTCTAGGAGCAAAGTGCTAGGTCCCCGGTCCTGGTGGGGCTTGGGAAGTCTTGGGGTTTGCTACTCTTCATCTTTCCCTCAAACAGACACCACAGGACCCAGACCCAGGGCATGGGGTCACTGAGAGGATGGCGACAGGCCACAGACATCGGACCAGGCCATAGTTAGAAAAAAGAAGCACGATTTATTGCTATTTCACTCTGTATCTTAGAACTTCTAACTTTCCATGGTACCTTTGAGTTTGTTAATCGGGTCATAGGACCCTGTGACACCAGGTGCACTATTGCTCCTTGAATTAAACAGATGAGCAGAGGGAACAAGGACATGTTGAACACCTAAGGCCACCCCCCCTGAAAGTCCATGAGGCTCCAGTGCTTGTCCAGGGCAGGGTGACCACAGAAGTCGCAGGACTTGTGTTGGAATCGGTCTTGCTGTTGAGTCACAGATTCTGGAACACCACTGTGAGACTCTGGGCGAGTCACTAGTGTTCGCTGGGCTTCCGATTCCTTATCTGTGAGGGGGTCTGATGGTCCAGTACATACTGCCCAGGGTGACACTTGGTAGTGCACTTTCTATATAAGAGGGACACCACAGAAAACGGGAGCCCCAGATCCCTGCAGCTGAAGGCTTCCTGGATGTGGTTCCAGACTGACCTCTCCTCCTCCCCCCCGACGCAGGTCTTGGTCACTCTGCCGAACTGGCGTTTGCCCTGGAACCTAGCGATGACATTGCTGTCCCTGGGCAGCCTGTGGTGCTGGGCTGCAAAGTGGAGGGGACCCCACCCGTGCGAATCACCTGGAGGAAGAACGGGGTGGAGCTGCCAGAGAGCACCCATGCGGCCCTGCTGGCTAACGGGTCCTTGCTGATCCCTCACTTCCGGGTGGAGCAGCCAGGCAGCCTTTCGGACGAGGGTGACTATGAGTGTGTGGCCCAGAACCGCTTTGGGCTGGTGGTCAGCCGGAAGGCGCGCATCCAGGCTGCAAGTAAGTGGACGTCCCTTCTTCTTCCTCTTTTCCCTTTGTAGAAGCCAGAGTGCTCATTGGCTGGTCTGGGGTGTGGGGGTGGAGCGCCGTCCGGGTTCAGGCAACCTTCTGGAGAACTAATTTCCCAGCATGGGTCAGTGGAGAGGAGTCCTGCAGTGAGTTCTGGTGGTGGAATTAGATCCTGGGCTCCTTTACTGATTGGAATGTGAATTGCGAAGTGTGTAGCCCAACATTGGTGGGCTGGTAGTTGTGGGAGTGGGGCTTCACCCCATGTTGGGTCATAGCTTCCATACACCTGTCACACTTCCGGTATCCTAGTCCCTTGCGTGGGGTTCTTCTTGCATTGAAAGGTAAACCACTGATTTTATGGAATATATATATATATATATATTAGCGTGTGTGTGTGTGTGTGTGTGTGTGTGTGTGTGTGGTGGTGCTAGGGATTGACGTCAGGGGATCTGAAGATGTTTATACGGGTCATTTTGGCTACATGCAATTTTTTTTTTTTCGGTACCAGAGATCGAACTTGGGACCTTGCACTTGCGAGGCAGGCAGCAGAACCACTGAGCTAAATCCCCGGCCCTACATGCAATTTTTAATTACATTGACTTTCAGAGGTTATGAGTAAGACTTCACTATACTACTAATAGAGTTCTGAAGCTTGTCGATAAATTTGCTTCAAAAATGTATAGTAGGAGCTGGGTGTGGTGACACAGCCCTATAGTATCAGCACTCTGGAAGGCTGAGACAGGAAGAACACAAGTTCAAAGCCAACCTGGGCAACTTAATAACTGAGTGAGACCCTATCTCAAAGTGAAAGAAGGGGAGGAGGGCTAGGGTTGTAGCTCAGTGCAAAGGCCCTGAGTTCAAGTCCTAGTACATCAAAAATAAATAAATAACACAAATAATTTAAAATAAATAATAAAAACATATGGTAGAGACCCAGGGTGTAGTTCAGTGGGGCAGCAAGCTGAGATCACGGGGGCTGTGGTTGAGAAAAGTGAAGCCCTTAAATTGGTGATAATCCTAGCTGACAGTTACTAAGACTTGCTGCATGCTGGGCACCCTAAGTGCTTAAGGGGAATCACAAGGACCCTAAAAGATGGGCCCTTATCCTCCCCATTTTACAGAGGAGAAAACTGAGCCTTTGGGGGTTCAAGTGTGAATTCTGACAAAAGGCAAAGCCAGGACTGCAGTGTAGGCAGCCTGGGCCCTTCAGCCCCTTCACTAACTCCTGTGGCACGCTGCCTCTTTCCCAGCCCAGTGCTGACAAGTTTCTTCCTGGCTCTGAGGGCATTCGCACAGTTGCTCTGAACGGCTGGTGAGTGATGAATTGTTCAAGGCAGGAGCCCCCTCTCGGGGCATTAGATGCCCCTTTGTTCTAAGGAAGGCCGGTCCAGGCCCCCATCTGGAGCTCGCTGGGAGGCAGCCCTGGACTTGGAGACCAAATCACTTCTGGCTCAGCCACCCCTGTGCCCAGCCCTGCCAGCAGTGCGGAGGGGGAAGGCTGGTGTGTCTCTGAGCAGATGGCTGGGTGTGTAGAATGACTCAGGGACCCAGGGTGGGGACCAAGGATGGGGGAAATGGAACATTTATTTATGTATTTATTTATCTATTTATTTACTTATGCAATGCTGAGGATCGAACCCAGGGCCGTGCACATACCAGCCAAGTGCTCTACTATTGTACTACATCCTCAGCCTGTCAATGCATTTTTCTAAATGGTAATACCTTCAAGGTGTTTGGTCCCTGCAACTCTAACAGTGTAAGGAATTGAGCTGGGGGTGGGGTCAGCCTGGCTAATCCTTTGGGGTCCTGGAGACAGGGAGACAGCGGAGGGGTTCGCCTCCTAGTGCTGCCTCTCTGACCAGCCCAGCCTCCTCTCTCCCCCAAGGCTGAGGCCCCAAGGGGGAAAGCATGGATGCCAAGCAACCAAGTGGCTGGATCCCTTTTCTCGATTCACAGGCTGATGTCCCTAGAAAGCTTCAAAGCTGATTAGCTCTGCCTGGGTTTCCTCCTTGGGTACTCACTCCCTGCCCATTTGCCCACTGGCACTGCAGACGCTGTGTGATGTGGGAGGGTGGCTTTCTGAAAGGGTGTGAGGAGGTTCTGGAGCAGCTCAAGGCAGGGGAGGGGCATGCTCAGCTCCAAGCAGACACAGAATCCTACCGAGGAACCAGCCCAGGAAGCCTCCTGGGCACCCATGTCTATACGGGTGGGTGCATCCTCTCTTTCCCAGTGGGCTCAGAGCTGTCCTTATGGGCTGCACTTCAGCCTGCGTCTGCAGCTGGGGGTCCTGTCTGCTCTGGCTCCCAGAACTCCTTGCAGTTCCCCATGCTCATAGTTTGGGGCTAAAAACTGAGACTTGCCAACAATAAGACCTAGACAAGTTCCTGTTCCCTTAGCCTGGTCTTCTCACCTGCAACACGTGCACATAATCCAACCTCATAGGATGTTCGTGAGGACCAGCACTCCCCATGCTTAGCCTGGCACACAGGAGCCGCTCAGGAACCAGACCCAGCACCTGCTTCCTCATTTGAAGGCAGTTCCAGCCTGGTGTGGCAGTGCACGTGTGTCATCCAGTTCTTCAGGAAGCTGAGGCCGGATTGCAAATTCCAGGCCAGCCTAGGCAATTTAGCAAGACCCTGTCTCAAATTAAAAAAAAAAAAATTTTTTTAAGCATAGGGGATGTTGTATTTCAGTGGTGGAGCACCTCTGAGTTCAACCCTCTGTTTTTTAAAAATTTTAAAAAGCTTTCTTGGAGAAAGCCTTTAAGTGTAATCTTGGCTGCCTGTGGAGGTTAATCTCCAACAAAGCAAACTGCCTGATTCCGCTCCCAGCCCGCTTTCTCCCTCGCTGGGATTCATTTAGGGAGGACTCCAGGGAAATCTCTCAGGCAGTGCAATTGTTGGGGCCGATTGCTCCTTGTTCTGTTTTAACCTCTTCTGCGGGGCTCTGGGGCTTGGGGTGGGTGGAAGCTGGGAGGCCTAGGAGACAGACACCCCACCCTCTGTAGGGGTATGGCTGAGCGGGGGCACGTACACTGATTCCCACTTGCTGATGTCCGTGTGCCTGAAAGACTCCAAAGAGGAATGGCCCAGCCTCAAGGACTGGGGGTAACTGGGGCCCACCCAGTTCCCCTTCCACCTCAGTCCTTGCTCCTCCCTTCCTGGTCTCAGGCTCCTGGGCTGACTGGAATAAAGAGATCCAGGACCCAGGACGGAGCTTCACAGACTGAACTGAGCCTGCGTCACATGGGGGTCTTGATTTGATTTCAGATCCATGAGTCTAGGCCCAGGACTGGATTTTTGCTTCTTTTAAGAGCCCACCCATAATGCACCCACACCCTGGGTGGCCACAGACTAAGGAGCAACCACTCCTGTGGCCTGATCTCTGGTTTAGGGGTGGACGGGCAGCATAGTGGAGTCCACAGAACAAAGGCTGCAGGGCTACCGTGGGGTGGGTTTGAACAGCAGCTCTGCCACTCTCTGATCATGCCCCTTAGATGAAGTACGTAGCCCACTTGAGCCTCTATACCTTCATCCACAGAGGCTGTGGGAGAATGAAATGAGGTGTTGGATATAAAGAACCTGGCCCAGAGCTGGGGATATATCTCAGTGGCACTGCGCCTGCCTCACAAGCACAAGGTTTTGAGTTCAGTCCCCGGCACCAAAAAAACAAAACATAACAGAACCTGGCCTGAGGCTTGGCATGCAGGAAAAGCCTTGTAAGTCTTACTGTTAGTGGTCAGGACCATCCACTGATGTAGGATGGGGTCTGGCTTGTCTCCATCCTGGCTGGATTCCCTACAAGCCGGTCTGCACAGGTCTACTAGTGGTTTTGAGCCTGGGCTGAGGCCGCCACAGACCTGGGCTTGGGCTTGGGCCCCACCCAGTAGTTATGAGCTTGGGTAGATCACGTCACCTCTCTGAGCCTCAGTTTCCATTTATGTATGTATGTATGTATGTATGTATGTATGTATGTATTTATTGAGGATTGAAACCAGGAAGCATTGAGCTGTATCCCTACTGTTTTTTTTTTTTTTTTGAGAAAGGGTCTTGCTAAGTTGCCATACTGGCCTCGAACTAGCCTCCTGAGTAGCTAGAATTACATACATGTGCCATGAGCTGTGTTTCTTCATCTTTATTTAGATTTTGAGTTTTTTAAAAATTGTATTTATATATTTATTTTTTGGTACTGGGAATCAAACTTGGGACCTTGTGCTTGTGAGGCAGGTGGCGGAACCACTGAGCTAAATCCCCAGCCCAGATTTTTGGTTTTTGATACTGGATCTCACTGTGTAATTCAGGCTGTCTTTAAACTTACTGTGCAGCCCAGGCTGGCCTCAAACTCATGGCAATTTCTTGCCTCAGCCTCCCAAGTGCTGGGATTGCATAATAACTATTATTATTCTAAGGAGTGCACAGAGGTGAAAAGTGCTGAGGTCTGAGGTGCTTTGACTGTGGCGTGATTCCCAGGAAGGCCCCTGGTGGCTAGACTCTGGGAAGAGGCAGTGGGGTATGGAGAGGGAGAAAGGCCAAAAATGTTAGCTCTGCTTCCCTCCAGCTGAGGAAATCATCTGTTTCTCCAGGTCTGAGGGAATACAAGGAAGCAGCTACTCTTCTGTGATCACATGGATCGGGGGCAGGGTCTGGGCATAGGCCTGACTGGGCTCAGGAGAACTAGGGACTGGAGCCAGGGGCTACCACAACCTGAGAGGGGACACTTAGTGTATTCGGGGGCCCTGAATGTAGGGAGAGGTAACCCTGGGGACCTTTGTCATCTGATTTGCTTAGGTCTGCTGTGTGGGATCCGAGTGTCCCTGAGGAGCTGGAGGAAATCTCCCCCTATCCCCCTAACATCTGCCTACCATGAAGGAGAGGCAGTCGCAGAGCTGTGGCGTCACTGGTGTGCAGGCAGAGCACCCCCTCAGTCAGGCCTGCACCCTGTCCACGTGGGGGAGTGTCCCGACCCCACCAGCTGACCCCTTCTGTCTCAGC